GGATATTCAGTAGGTCAACTACTCTACAGACAGGTAAACATTGTCTTGTGTGTGTATATGAATACACTGTTTTTATTACGAGTGTGTATTTTCGCTACATAAATTTCACTATGGCAGCTCTCCATATTTATGGTATCTTTTTACATAGCATAAAACACCTTTTGTAACAGCATGTCGGGTGGTCTTTGAAAAAAAAAAAATCATTGATACAATCAAGAATAATATAACACAAAAAGTGTAGACAAGTTTATGATATATCTGATTTTTTGTAGAAGTTGTTTTTACCTAATAAATCATTCGGGCTGAAAAACTACGGTGTTTATTCAGTAATATTTTGAAGATTTCTTAAATTCTGTGATGCTTGTGTGATTTCCGGTAGTAAACAGACTGTGAGTGTAAATTATGGTGTGTTATATATGTGATCTGTACCTCCCAAGGTTTTCCTGTTCTTGTACCATATTCTACTTGATAAACTCGCCTTCTCTTTCAAAACACTTGTTTGTTGGTGATTTTCACTTGCTTCAATAACATTTATAGAGATCTTTGAAATAAACTTAATATTGAACAGTTACCCTGTCTAATTTGACCCCTAAGTAATATGACATCCTGGTAAAAATGACCCCCTGAGTACTCAAAAACCCTGTTTAATCCAACACCTGTGTATTGTACCAACCTGTTTAAACTTTAACCTGAGTAATTTAATGTCCTGTTTCATTTGACCACTGAGTAATCCAACATGCTGCCTAATCTGACCCTTGAGTATTCTAACATCCAGTCAGCTGGTCTGTCCCCTTAATAATCCTGCATTTTGTATAATCAGATAAGATCGTTGCAGAAATCCCAATTCAAATAAAAACTGCTCAATAAGGCCTTTATAGTCTGTAATACTCTCAAATGTGATGGATATATTGTGTATCATTCAAAGGTGGCAGATTACACAGATTTCACTGCAATGTCTTTGTAAAAGACCGTTAGTCTGCAAATAAATTAACCTCATGAATAAATATGAGGAAATATTTGCCAGATTTGCCTAGCTATCTGATTATAATTCTGTTCCAAAAAATTGTGGTACAAAAATTAGTTCAGACAATTAACAGATTCACTTGGCAAGATAACTATCTTATAAGTCGACTTAGCGGGTAAGCTATCATGAAAATTCAACATCTAAAGACGATTTTGGAAATATTTTTACATTTGATAGCTTTTTTTAGGCTGCATCTTCCAACACCCAGCACACTGTTGATAAGGGTGTTTATTTGGTTTATTACAGTACTAACATCACTCCCACTATAAGAATGCCCCAACTGTGCACAAGCTTTTTACCTCTGCCTAAAATCTGATTTGTGGTTGATTATAAGTATAGTTTACTAGAGCATCAGCTGATCTTGTGATAAAACACAGCCAACATATATACAAACCTCACACTGTCTGTGCAGCTTTATGCCGATATATATTTTTTGATATTGTACTGATAAAATTGTTTTTTTCATAGATTTGTTTTTATGTTTCACCTCTGGTATTGTGTGTTACAATTTTACAATCAGTCATTCGTTGATTTTTAACAACGAAAATCTTGGGGAATATTGATTAAGAATTGAATTCTAGATTTAGGGTTATATAATGACAAGATTGAGGGACATTGATAAGGATTAGGATGTTACCTTGCCTTGACATGAAACTGCATTCCAAGTGAGAGTTGTGTAAAAGAACTTACAATGCATCATGTAATTTGGATATAATTAGCAACACAAGAATGGATACACCAATAATACTCAATTGAAATTTTCACTATCCCTAATTTATGCCAAATGATATCAGTCAAAACTATTTATGGTCTTCGAGTCTATAACGGACAACATGTATAATGTGTTTTAAATGTAGCGAATCTACTTATTTTTATACTTAAAGTAGAAATCCATGTTTTGATAACTGTGTACAAGGTTGCATTTGTGGAAATTTAAAAATAAACGCAATATCAAATTATCAATAGTGGTACTTAATCAATATTTCAAGGTCAATGGACATGTAATTGATATGCCAAACCTAACAGTTATCAGTAGCATCCAACATTAGTGTTCAACCATTGTCTGTTGAAGTATCGTATATTCCTGTTAGTAAATCACTTGTAAATCACTTGAAAGAGAATGTCACTTTTCCTGTTTTGATGCATGGTGTGTTTGTGTTAAGGATCATACAGACCTCTATATAGTTACATCACAAATAATATTTCTGTTGATCAAACTTACAGCATGATGTCTTGGACATTTATAAAATGACTTCAAAGAAATTCGCCGTTTTATGGAACCTGCTGTAATTATATAACATATTTTCATGATTTAGATTCAGACACAGTTGGCACGTTTTGAAAGGCTTCACATCTTTTTTGTAATTTGCAAACTTAGATTTGGCAGATTGTTGTATCTTTAAAAAGTTGATGTGTATTGTAATATTTTTATGATGTTATTTGTAATATTTTTTGAAACACTGGCGACGGTTGTGTAAATATTTGCGGCAGATTTAGTTTGTGCCCTTAAGCATGCGATACTCTAGATCTCAAGCTTTCATATTCAAGATTTGGAGATCAAGCTCTGAACATGATTATGACTGCTTCATTGTTAAGAAATCATGACGATATTAGAATATTAAGTTGACAGATTGTAGATTAAGGGATATACTACCATGTACTATCTTGATGTAACACACATGTGTTCAAATAGATTAATCAGTTTGCAGTTATAAAAAGATACTTTACTAAATATATATCCACCTGAATTCCATTGTTATCTGTCTGAGACATCTGTTTACTACAGACCCTGTGATCACAATATCTGTAGAGCTATCACTGGAAATGCAGCAGTGTCTGTTTTATGCTCTTTACCTCTTGCTGAAGTGAAAAAAAAAATACTTATACTGAGGCTCCAAAATTAACAAAGAAGACATGATTCTTAATACACTACACATTATGTATGCCTTGGTACCTAGATAGTAGTTTGTTTTTAGCAGATCACACAGGGTTTGGTTAAAAAAATATAGAAGCTTTGTATACGTGTACTGTTCTAACACAGGACATATGACTCAGAGATCTACAGGAAGCTGAGTATTTACACACAGCGTGAAAAATATAGATATGACTGGCTGACGTTTAACATATATATGAACCTGAGCTGATACAGAGTACAGGGTAGACTTGACACCCAAAAGTGCTACCTTGAGCTGTCAGGTAATTGTGCACACCTGTTGTTAATTAAAGTTCTGGCCTTCAGCAACACCCCCAATTAATTGCCCCTGAGAATAGATACCATCGGAGAAGGTAATATTTTGGATGGCAGAGATTCTGTGGAGTTACAAATTCCTGCCTCTTATTTGTGTGTTATTACGGAGAAAAAATAGGTTCAAGTGCTGGGTGAAAAAAGTAAATTGGTGAAGGAATGTATTAGGAAGTTAGAACTGTTGTTGTCTGAGTGAGGGAGGGTAACAGTGCTCTCAGAGTATCTACTCCAGCCTTTGGAGAATGGGGTGAAGAGACAGGGGAAATAGAGGGGGGGTTGAGGATTCCGAGGAAGTGTAATTATCTTTCGCCTACAAAGCTGCTTTCCAAGTCTGAGAAACACTGATATAACACAGAATTAGCTTTTGTTTTTCTTACAGGGATGCTCTAATGTCATTAGCTTAAAAATTGGAAACAGAAGCAGAGAATAATGGAATAAGGCCAGACTTGTATAGGATGTAGTGTGTGGAAGTGAAAAGGGTTCCAATATATGACGTACGCTTTATACTGCATGCACGTGAAATGCACATGCACACACATACATCTAGTTTGTGACTTGCTGAGCATGAAGTCACAGTATATGTGTATCAGTAAAACGTTACGAGATCGGACAACTCTGGGATACATCATAACGGTCATATAAGACAGGATGTCAAACTTCACAGGTCATATTTCGTACCTTTTCATCACAAAATTGGATATATTTCACCCTCATCTTCTGAACATAGTCATCAATTATTTTCAATGGTCAAGATCTTAATTCATTTTCTACTGAGTACTTAACTAAAAGTCAATATTTTGTTTTTCTCAAAATGTTCAGTGGTTTCCTAGTTAGAGTATTTCCACTTCCAAAACCTGGCACGTCCTTGAATGACCATAGCTGTTAATAGGATGTAGAACACAAACAAACAAAAAAGGAGTATTTTGAGGGGGTTGGGCATTATGCTATCATGTCCAAGTTCTGACATTTCAGTGAGATCACACTTTAATCTGACCCATGACCGGCCCGGTCAATCCTCTGTGGACAATGTAAACTCCAATTAAACAAAAGATTCTCAAAATGTTTGATTTGCTAATATCTTCAATTTTCTTAAGACAATCAAATTGAGTCCTTCAGTATAAAGATTTCAGTGTTAAAATATATATTTACAGATAAAAGTACTTTCTAGCTAGCTCCCACAGGATTATAAACATGCGAGTCAAAGAATTCAGTACAAAATTTTGAAGATATTAATTGCAATTTCTGCTAAAATAACAAAAATTCAGTCTCAATGTTTTCAAACCTTTTTTAAAATAGAAACAAAATGAATGATGTATGTTAAATATGTATGCAGTTTACTTAAATAGATATACTGGCACCATTGGTATTCAACAAAATATTGGCATTAAAAGAAAACTAGTTTAGGGGAGACATGTAAGTGGACCTTAACCCTTTCACCACTGTAGACCAGAATGGACTCATCCAGATCAATGTATGGTAGAGTCTACTAAAGTTACCTATAGGGTCATATATGCAAACAGTTTTTGCGCAGAAAAAAGTGTAAAGTAAATATTTCGTAAAAGGAAATGAGAGAAATAGATGTATCAAAGGTTAGTTTAAGTTTCTTACACCTAGTGTAGTACTGTCTGCCTGCCAGTAAAATTGACCAAGGGTGTGTCACAAACTTACAGTTACAAACTGACCATCTTGTGACCAACATGTCTGACTGACCACCACATTTGTGTATTACAGGTGTCCAAGTTAGTCATTCTCCATGAAGAAGCAGAAGATGGCAATGCCATGCCTGACCTTGCTATGCCAGTCCAGACCGTCAAGCTGGCTGTCGACAATCTTGTTAAGGTATGTATATCATTGACAGTCAGTTGCATTGGTCAAGCTGACCGCTGGCATTCTTGTCAAAACTTTGTTTCCAGGCAAGTGCCTTTTCACACCACTGCAACTGAATCAAACAATATTTGTATAGCAGTGGAAGAACTGCACTGAGATATTCTTTGGACTTTTTTTTATCTTGACACTTCGATTATAATGAAATAGTCAGAACTAACAATATTTTTAGTTAAAAATCATTCAGTTGCTGAATAGTGTTTGGGATAAATGGATCTGGATGAACCAAGTTATACTATAATGTAATGACCTCTGTTTTATACCATCATGAAGGTACATAGTTTGACAGGTGTTGGTGGTGACGTTATTGTTTCAGGTCGGTTATGACACAATCAATTGCAGTGAGGATCAGATCCTGAAACAAGACATGCCTCCCGCCCTCAACAGAGTCGAGGAAGCTTCCATGCTTCTCCTTCAGGCCTCACAACTTCTCCGATCAGACCCATTCTCCGCTCCAGCCCGCAAAAAACTCATAGAGGGCTCTAGAGGTGAGATGTAAAGGAGTACTGGTTACATGAAATGTCAATATTAAGCATAGCTCAGTGTTCTTGGTTTAATTCAGATTACTTGAATTTTGAATTTCAGTTTAGTTCAGTTTTGATTTTATTAACACATATTCTGATTGGCTGACTGGCGAATCGATATCCAATCTGAGCAAGAAAACTTTTTAATTTTCTAAACAAAAAACTCGTGACAAAATCAGCAAAAATGAAGTCACTCGTATGGGACTACTTAAGCAATCTGAACATTGAGAGATGAACAGAAAATCTACCAGTCGTGCACAATGTCAGAAACATGGAACTAGCTCCACATCATCTGGGACTGATTTAAAGTGAAAACACAAGAGTGTTACATAACAGTATCGTTTATTGTAGTCAAATTGACATTTATGTCTCCCCTTCACATGAACGAAGGTGTTTAAGTACTGACTCTTCTATTTTATAGCTTGTCTGGGATGTAACTTTTAAACCATAAAAGATAATTAGATGAAACTCTAAATATACTTGCATTAACCCCAGGAGGTCTGCAGTACACTGTAATTAGGTCACTGTGACATTCACCTGGAGGTCAACAGTCAAATAAGTGAAATATATCCAGCAATATCTTAATTGTCCAGGCTGTTACATAAACTGTGATATATATCTTGATGAAACTTGAAGTGTATCTACATCAGTTAAAAAAATTCAATGTTTAACAGCATCTGTATTTATTTTATTTACAAGGCATTCTACAAGGGACCTCAGCCTTACTGTTAGCGTTTGATGAATCAGAAGTGAGAAAGATTATCCGTGTGTGTAAAAATGTGTTGGAGTACCTGGCTATAGTGGAGGTGGTGGACCGGATGGAGGATCTCGTCACGTATGTAAAGGTGAGAGTTAACAGTCATCTGGAGATGTTTCCTAGTCCTATTCTTCTTCATTATCAGTTTCAAAGAAATACCAATAAATTTGTTCAACTCATCGGGGAAACAAATTTGACTTGACAACCTGTTTCTTGCTGTAGGAAAGGATAACTTAAAATGTTATTGACTTGAAAATTGTTTTTTGCTGAAGGAAAGATGAAACCTGACAATAATTAACGAAACATGAAGTTCACTGAACTGTCCAACTCAGATATCATGTAAACAGAGATCCTGGGGTTTTTAACAAGCCTTCTGACTGTTAGGTAATGGAGCTTCACTTCTGAGCAATACAAAAAGCAATGACTTTCTAATCAGAAAATGGAATTTTCACAAGTTTGGCATTTTGCACACAAATGCTCATTTTGCAAGAACAGAGGTGATCAGTTTATTGAGACTTCAATATAGATATATTAATTGTCGGATTGTATTTCGTCCCATTCAAAAAAGAAAACATTTAAGTTGAAAGAAAAGTTGTAAAAACTATAGTATTTAATTTTGTCCACAGAATCTGAGTCCAGTCCTCACTACCATGGCCAAACAGGTGGACGGTCGGGAAAAGGAACTGACCCATCAGGTCCACAGGGAGATGCTGTGTCAGTCCCTGGACCAGGTCAAGAACCTAACTCCTGTTGTCATCAGTGGCATCAAAATTTACATTACAGCCAAAGGTAAGTTCTTACAGAGAACTACAAAATACAGAGTATATTTTATCATAGCTTGATCCCCCAGACATTTCCCCCTTACAATGATCTTCACAGTATCCTCTATATGTAGACATTACACAACGTTTTGATTTGTTCAGAGTTTTACATTCTTACAAATATTGAAGAACACATGAAGAAAGGCAGTGTTCCTTATGCGTTATCACAACATGATGTCCCATACATCTTAACACTAAATGATGATTCCCATATACTTTATAACAACATGATGTCGCATTCATCTTAACCCTAAATGATGACTCCTATACACCGTATCAATACATGCTGTCCCCTACATCTTAGAACTAATTGATGACTCCCATATCCCTTATCACAACATGATGTCTTATACATCTTAACACTAACTGATGACTCCCATATCCCTTAACAATACATGATGTCCCATACACCTTAACACTAAATGATGAGTCCCTATAGCTTTTCAATACATGTTGTCCCCTACATCTTAACACTATATGATGACTCCCATATACCTTATCAATACATGATGTCCCCTACATCTTAGCACTAAATGATGATTCCCATATACCTTATCAATACATGATGTCCCATACATCTTAACACTAAATGATGACTCCCTATACCTTATCAATACATGATGTCCCCTACATCTTAACACTATATGATGACTCCCATATACCTTAACAATACATGATGTCCCATACATCTTAACACTAAATGATGACTCCCATATACTTTATCACAACATGATGTCTTATACATCTTAACACTAAATGATGACTCCCATATACCTTATCAATACATGATGTCCCCTACATCTTAACCCTAAATGATGACTCCCATATACCTTATCACAACATGATGTCCCATACATCTTAACACTAAATGATGACTCCCATATACCTTATCACAACATGATGTCTTATACATCTTAACACTAAATGATGACTCCCATATACCTTATCACAACATGATGTCCCATACATGTTGTATTGACACAGTGCCTCAAATGTTTTGCCATTTCGAAAACCTCCACAATGCCCTGTATATTTTGATGTTACACAATGCCCTGTATATTTTGATGTTATACAATGCCCTGTATATTTTGATGTTACACAATGCTATATATATTTTGATGTTACACAATGCCCTGTATATTTTGATGTTACTCAATGCCATGTATATTTTGATGTTACACAATGCCGTGTATATTTTGATATTACACAATGCTATATATATTTTGATGTTACACAATGCTATATATATTTTGATGTTACACACAATGTTGTTTTTTTTTCCTTACAGAGAACTTTCAGATGCCGCAGCAGGTGGTTGACGCCCAGTGTAACAGAGACTACATGGTGAAGAAGATGAGGGATGAAATCCACGAAATTATTCGAGTGCTACAGCTGACCACATACGATGAGGAGGAATGGGACGCTGATGACCTTGCCATCATGAGAAAAATGCAAAGTACTATCGACCAAAAAGTGAAACACGCTAATGACTGGCTGGCGGACACAACAGCTCTCGTAGGAGGGGCTGGTAGGTGGACATAACTCTAGTTGTAACTGTCAATCATCCACCCTTATTCTTATTGACTTATAAAAATGAATTCTTATTTTTCCCCTCGCAATGAAAGTTTGAGGAGATATAGGATTCCGCCCAGTGTCCATCGAAGAATTCAGTCGCTAGAGCAGATACTGATATATCATTGAATTATCTATTCATTTCCTCATACATATGTCACACATTGTGTGAATGTGAGGGGATTTGTATCACTTGTGATGCCTTGTTTTTAATTAGTTTTGACAATATTGATTATTTGCTTTTATTTGGAAATAATTCTTGCAAGTGTAAAAAATATTTCAAAAAAATATTTGCCTGAGATAAGTTATTGACTGTCGGTCAGACAAATGTTATAGACTGGCAAATTTAGATTGTCATAATTATGTCATCTTACTACTTCCAGTCATGCTTCTCGTTTTTTCAGTTGTTAGATAAGAAATGTTTCCATATTTCAGAATATTGAGATTTATCATATCAATAAAAGACAAATTTTATATATCAATTGAAAAAAATATATGTTTGTTATCTATCTTATAATAGGGGGAACTTAACTCATTCACCCCTGAAGACACATTTGAACTCTTCCAATTCAAAGGTTGGAATAGTTCATTATGAAATTTCAGGGGTGAATGAGTTAATCTGCAAATCAATTAACTTTCACAAGTTTATAATGTAAATTAGTTTGTTGACAAAACTTTTCCTAGTGTTAAGGAACAGTGTTTCAAATTTCTATGTGATAGAAGCAGAAAATAATTCTATATGCATTTGTAGGGGACAAGTCTCTGCGTCAGATATTGGAGGACTCACGACGAATCGCAGACAGATGCATTAACCCTGATGACAGAGACATCATATTGAAGACGGCAGGAGACATGGAATCCATGACTAACGCTCTTTCAGAACTCCGACAGCAGGGCAAGGTAACGTATTGCTTGAAGACCTTAGCAATGCTACTGAGTCAAAATCAGATATAAAATACTTTCTTATAAAGAGTGACTTTGTTAGTCTGGATACTATTTCTTAAAAAAATAATCTTAAATAACTGAATTGAAAATTTACTAACCAGAAAATGCTATGTGTACCTCAAGATATTCATTTCTTCAGTTAGCAAAATCAGATTATTTACATGGTAGAGATTGATAATGTATTAAGTTTATGAGAAGAAAATATTTGCTTCATCATTAACTGCTTTGTATTTTCCTAATCAATTAGAAAGTAAACTTAAAAGAAAATTCTAAAATTACAAAAGTTACAAAGAGGTAACTTGGGGGTCACACATAAATCACTTAGGTCACATGCAGGTTAAATCATACAAACACCTCAGGGATCTAAAAACTTACAGCAATCAGAGGTCAAACAAAGGTCACTTCTCCTTGTATAAATCATTAAACTGTAACATAACAAAATTGTAATATTCTTATTATGGCATATGTAATATCCAATATAACAGTCTCCTTGTTTTACCAACCACATCATCCCGTCCTACTTGATGTCTGTGAAGTGAGCTTTCGATATACCATAATATCTTATAGATATAATTTGTTCTTTAACTTTTCCATTTGTAAATGTTAATATAAGATAACAGTCTTTGTGTGTAAATTAGGTAGAAACTATAGTTAGAGCGGCATACATCCTTAATTGAGTGTCGTGTTTGTATTAACAGGGCAGCAGTCCACAAGCCATGTCTCTAGCCCGGCAAATCCAAACCAAATTACACGAGCTACAGAGACACACCCAGAACGCCATTGCTAACAGTGAGCGGTCTGGTATACGGCGCCCCGCCCCCACAGTGGAGGGAAAGGTAGAACAGGCTCGTCAATGGCTGTCACACCCTGGCATGGATGACCGAGGACTTGGTACGTTCTCCATTAAATCAGACTGTTATAAACCAAAGAGGCCTAGCCCTGAGAATGTGGTTAAAATAAACACCAGACATATTCTTGAATTATAAAATAAAGTGAACACCTGTCTATGAAAACCACTTCTCTAGATCAAATACCTGTCTATACAGTCAGTTCTCTAGAGCATACACCTGTCTACAAATGCCACCAGAGTATAGCAAATACCTGTTAACTCATTCACCCCTGAAATTTCATAATGAGCTATTCCAACCTTTGAATTGGAGGAGTTCAAATGTGTCACCAGGGGTGGATGAGTTATTAGATATTATCTCTGTGAAGGAAATGTCTGACTTTGAATGACCCCATTTGTTCAAACTTCCTCTTAGTTGAAATCATATCCTGTCTCAATATATAGCAAAGTTTGATAATCCTGTCCAAAATTATATCAATGACTTCAGAAATGAACGGTACATTCAAAAAGTTTCCATAATTTTATCAATTTGTTTTATAATTTTGATACTAAGACAGAAGTCATATTTAAGAGAACCAGAGTTATTTCCCTTGGAAAGTGGTATTGTAGTCACTAAGCATGTTTTGTACCATTGGAACTGAAATTTCACAGTTTTTGTCTTCAAACACTGTCATAAGTGAGGAAATTACCATGTATCAGGATATATCAGGATATTTAAGAAGTATATCCTGATCATCGTGTATCAGATTACTTTCTTAGGGATATGTACTGTAACAACTTGCCCATAACAGAGTGAATGTAGAATCTGGGAATGTCAAACTCATTTTCTATTGCATCTGGTGTCTTGTTAACTTATTTTAGGTAATACTAAGGACACATGAACATATTACATTGACAATTTGACATTACAGGATAAAAATTCAATTAAGTTAAATGTTATCACAATTAATAATCAGTAATGACATTGTGTAAAAAAAAAATCAAAAATAAATAAATTAGAAATGGTCAATAGGCAGAGTTTAACTTTTGTATTGTGATATATTTTGCACTTCTAATTATAAATTATTAAATAGTAATATACTGTGATACAGAAGTCACTATATGATAAATGTAACACCGACCAAAATATTGGGATATTGATATGTAGGATTACATTGTTACAACCCTCTTATCAAGCCTGGGACATGATAAACAAAAATGTGTAATTTTGTAGATGTGTATTACAATAGTCAGATATCAGTTAAATCAATGATATGATCCTTGTAATGTTTGAACGACATTTGTGGAAGTATGACTATGTCTTACCTGTATTTATGTACCTGTACACAGGAGAACAGGCCACACGTATGGTGGTAGCGGAAGGACGCCGTGTAGCCGATTCATGTCCGGGAACTCAGCGCTCGGAGCTGCTGCGCCTGTGTGACGAGACAGAAATACTCACTAGTCAGCTGTCAGACCTCATCAGGAAGGGTCAGGTAAATAAATCATCACAGAAGTCATGTACATTTCTTTTCAATGATGTTATCATCACATATATCAAGAAATGTATAATTATGAGAATGGATCAGGGATCTAATGTCCTGATGAATATTTTTCAGACACCATTAACTTATTCCCCCCTGAAATTTCATAATGAGCTATTCCAACCTTTGAATTTGAAGGGTTCAAATGTGTCTTCAGGGGTGAATGAGTTCAAGTTCAAATCTACACAAATAAATTGTTGGAGTGCTGAAAAAGGACACAAAAATCAAAATTACAGAATTTATGTGTTTTGTTTGTTGAAATATGTTTTACAATGAAACTTGTGATAGATTGTATGGGCAGTATCCAAGGATTGTAGAATTAGTTCCTTTAAAAAAAACAAAAAAATAACAGCCATATATAAATCTTATACCATTCTTTTGATTTGCCCTGAAAGCCTTAATTCCAACAGAGTAGAGAACTAGCACACTTATGTTTAGAATATCAAGTAAGATTGTAATAAATCAATTAAATAATGATAAAACAGATTAGTTTCTCTTATTATTAAATCCTGATAAAGATTGAAGAAACTGCTTTATCGTTTTTTGACATTGAAACATTACCATTATTTTTGTTTTACAGGGAGATAGCCCACAAGCCAAGGCACTAGCTAAAGCTCTGACAGAGAAACTTCATGCCCTCAAGTACAAAATCCAGGAGGCACTGGTCAGCCAAGTAAGTCACTCACACGGTCAAGGTCAGGACTACAAGGTCAATTAAAGGGTTATTCTCAAGGTCATTCACAAAGTTATTCTCTAGGTCACCTGTACGTCAACCTTCATGTCACTTACAAACTCAACGTCAAGGTCAGTCACAAGGGGAAAACTTCACTTGTGTCATCAATATGTACTGTATACCAACAGAAGAATATGTTTTTCAAAAAATAAAAAAAGACAATGAGCATTGTTTGTATGGTGTGCAGTAGTGGTAGTCCATCCCCAGGGGCATCGGTGGCCAAGTGGTTAAGGCGTCTGGCATTCTGTTACCACTAGCCCTCCACCACTGGGTCACGGGTTAGAGACCTAAGTGGGGCAGTCGCAAGGTACTGGATGTAGGTTAGTGTTTTTTTCTCCAGGAACTTCGTCTTTCCTCCAACACCAAAACCTGGCACATCCTTAAATGACCATAGCTGTTAATAGGATGTTAAACACAACCAACCTAACCAAACCATCCCTAAACAGAGTAAGTTACATGTCGAGGAGAAAATGTCTAGAAATCTGAAGATATTTTAAAAGTATTATTAACTTTTTGTAACAAACCCTATTAAGAAACATTGGAAGTTTGTTATCTTGGCAAATGAATGAAATATAGAAAAAGAAGTAAAACAAAGTATTTGTAAGAAATATACCTAAATGTGTCAGTTGATAGCTAGGAATATGAGTGTTTTCACCAATCCTATGTGATAGTTTTGTGCTTCGTCTATTCACATTATACTAAGTGCAAGTAAAAGACGAACAAGATCTACAGGGCAAACCGTTCTTGGTACCGGGGTCTGAGAAAGTGAAATTTAGCATCATTACGATGGCATCTACCTATTATGATGTGTTATTTAGTATGTGAATTCATTTAACAACTACTACCTGCTTCAGTATTGTTTCACTGCCTGGGAGAGGGCCTAGTAAGTTGTAAGAAGGAGAGGGCCTAGTAAGTTGTAAGAAGGAGAGGGCCTAGTAAGTTGTAAGAAGGAGAGGGCCTAGTAAGCTGTAAGAACTTGTGCCCAATCCCTTTGACTATTCAGTGTCAATGAAAATGAATGAACAACTAATACAATAACATCAGAACACACTCAACAGGAACTTAGAAAAGATAGGTAAATCTGTTTTTGATCCCGCTGCAGGTTGCTGATGATTTCATTGACATCTCGACTCCTCTGAAGAACATGACTGATGCTGCCCTGGCACCCTTAGGTAGGTACACCTTGGTTACTACACAGGAACACATGGCCTTTTCTTCCTATTAAAGAAACTGCAACAATTCAAAAGTTTGAATACAATTATTCTTTTTAAATAAGAAGGATGATTACCTAAAATGATAAATTTACTGAGAATAGGAGCTGTACTAGTTGGTATTCAAACAATATAGTTGAGAGGCCTTTTTTTTTTTTTTTTGCATGCTCTTGGAAATTAGATATGAATTAGCCTGCTGTATCCCAATGCATGAATGTATGGGGTGACCACCTGTAAAATATGTGGTTTTCTTCTGTGTCCTCCTGTACTTTGAGCATCAAGAAGGTGATAGTTGCCCCCGTTGCAACTCCTTCGACCTCCCTCTTTTTAAGCGCTCACCATTTCATCGGTACAAACAGAAAAACAGAAGAAAAAAATGGATTTTAAACACACAAATGTTTTGTTGTTCAGGAACTCCGGGTCGCGAAGCCACCTTTGCTGATAAGGCTAGGCAGTTTGAGGACCACGCCTGCAAACTGGCAGACACTGCTAATATGGTGGCAACTAAAGGAGGGTGTAGGAACAAGAAAACGGTGGAGGCCATTTTCAAATCATCTGCACAGGTAAAATAGTGGAAGAAAAACAAGGTTTATTCTGTCATGTTAGTTCCTTTTATGGGAAATATAGCTGAGAAATTTTGTTTTTGTATATAAAGATGTGTAGAGTTCTCCATCATCCAAGCTTAAACAGAAATTGGCTACAGATGATTAAGTTTTGTGGACAACCTGAACTCATAGCTGAATCGCTGATTTGCATGGACAGTGTCAATAATACAGGCAATAGGTGTAAACATCTTAACTGAACGGCTGACCATGAAATTTTATCATGGAAAATAGCTACTGACAGAGTACCCATATATGTTTTTGGTTATACATTATACAACAGGGTTGGTATAGATTTGAAAATCATTGAAAAATAGAAATTACTTTGAAAGATACTGAAATTCTTGTTATCCTCCTTAAAAGTTCCATTTTTTTAACACATTATTATGAAAAAACTTGTTTTCTGTTGATTTGTATTATATGGTTCTAATTTTTGATATGAAAATATCCTTAAAATTGTAGAAAAAAGGACTGATCCTGTAGTTTTTTCTTATTTCAAAAAAATTATCTGGGAAACCTAGTTCTAAATTTTCACATGCAAGTACTCCACATCCTAAAAATTGATGTTATTGAATCCTTATAACGAAATGTACCAGTCAGATTAACATGTAAGCCTGAATAGAAAAAGAACCACAGATTCTTACAACCGAAATTGTCATGTAAAATGAAACAAATAAAAAAAGATAATGTAATTTAAAATTTTGAAATGTTTAAACTAGCAAACCATTTACCCAGTAGAGGAACATGTGATGAATTTAAGTTAAATTAACTCATTCACCCCTGAAATTTCATAATGGACTATCCCAACCTTTGAATTGGAAGAGTTCAAATGTGTCTTCAGGGGTGAATAAGTTAAAGAAATTAACATATAATGTTAAGGATGATATGTAGTTTTTGTACAATTCAGGTCAGTGACTTGACACCACAAGTGGTAACAGCAGCGAGAATTGTACTCGCCGAACCCAACAACCCCGCCGCACGGGACCACTTTGACCTAATGAAGAAACAGTGGACAGATAACATGGAACAACTGCGAGGTTTAGTGGACGAGGCTGTTGACACGCCCGCCCATCTCAAGGCCGTCGGTAATGGCTCATTAATACGACCACTGGTCACCTATACTTTCTCATAGAGTTGTTACCACAACATTACCTGCAAAAAATGTGCTTAGAATATACTATAATCATGCATTATTTATAAAATTATTCTTCAGGGCAACAGCTAATATCTATTGCCATTTTAGTAACAACAGGTGGCTTCCTCAAATGCAAATCATGTGACAATAATTGGAATCAAATATTGTTGCAAAAAAGCCACAGGACAATACATTGTATTTCTCAATAATTGAGACGTCCTACAAACTAGGCTGTGATAAAGCGGTATAAAAGAACCTCAAATTATTATTATTATTATTAACTCCCATTTATATATTTGATTCAAATGTCCTTTCAACTTATCACAATCATATCTAGTGATTTTATAACCGACATTTTTTCAGAGGAAGCTATCCTACGGGACACAGATCGTGTAGAGGATGGTATCAGAACTAATGATCCAGCCAAAATGGTAACAAATGGCTCAAACATTGCCCGCCGAGCCAATCGTGTGCTCCAGGTGGCTCATACCGAGGCCGAGAACAGTGAGGACCCACAATTCGTAGACCAGGTTAATCGGGCTGCAGAAAACTTAAAGTCAAGTGAGTTAAACCCCTAAGTTCAAGTGAGTCAAACCTCTAAGTTCAAGTGAGTTAAACCACTAAATTTAAGTGAGTTAAACCCCTAAATTCAACAGAGTTAAACCTCTGTAGTCGAGTGAGTCAAACCTCTCAAGTAAAGCGAGTCAAATCTCTAAAGTCAAGCGAGTCAAACCTCTAAAGTCAAGTGAGTCAAACCTCTAAAGTCAAGTGAGTCAAACATCTGTAGTCAAGTGAGTCAAACATCTCGAGTAAAGCGAGTCAAACCTCAGTCAAACCTCTGTAGTCAAGTGAGTCAAACCTCTAAAGTCAAATGAGTCAAACATCTGAAGTAAAAGAATTTGAGTTAAATAAGTCTAAACATTAAATAATTAATTTGAAACTTGAAAATCAATTATTTAAAACATTAACTCTAGTGAGTCAAAAATAATCATGAGTATTAGTCAATTAATTTGAAATGAATATGAGAAAATGAATCAAAACTCAAGTGATTGTTTTTCAATAAATATATATGAGGAGTTGGAGGCAAGTTTTATAGACTCTATAACTAATAAACTTATACAAGAGACTGTCATTAGAGGTTTCTCATGATGTTGTATCCTATTCAAGTGAATTTGTATACATCAGAAATTTAGTGGACAAAATCAACCAAATTTATGATGATATAGTCAAAAACTTTTCCCACATCAAAGAAAGTTACTGCAGAATATAGCAAAATCAAAGTGAAAAGTTAAATTCAACAAACATTATATGTCTTTATTTTCCTTCCACAGCGATCTCTCCGATGGTTCAGAATGCCAAAGTAATGTCTATGAATCCAAAAGATGGCAACGCTGTCAACAACTGGAGGAAGGCCAATCAGAATGTGAGGCTTTGACTAGAATAAGTCAAAAAATGAAATAAGGAGAAGTCAGTTTGACAAAAACAAATATTTTACTTCATTTTGTTAGTCAAGATATATAGTTAGTTCTTCATACCTCATACCAAACTTAGGTTGTTAGCTACTTTACTATGATATGTATTTCCATTTCTAAAGAGTTCGGAACTTAATGTGTAAGGTTGTATATACCCTTAACTATAACACAAATAACAGGTATAATGTGTAGAGGAGCATATATCCAAAGTGTGGAGTGGGGTTTCAATAATCAAGGGAACTTGTGTTCCTGACTTTCATTACTTTTATAAGCTAAATCTATTGTTTGTACTAACCTGTCTTAGATTTAGGTGCTAGTTACATGAGCATTTGTATAGCTACTTTGTAAGAATATTGCTCTAATCTGTTCTACTTATTTGGTTCTAAATGCTTAAATTTGATATAATGACGGCGTCAAAGTAGAATTTCTTTGCATTGTTCTCATCTTCTCCCGGCAGCTTATATCTGCGGTGGGTGGTGTACGTGAAATATTCCGAGAGGAGCCAGGTAACGACCAGTTCCCCCCTCCTCCTCCGGACCTGTCACAGCTTCACATTACAGGTAGGTACATCACATCCCTGGGGTGGGTGCTGCAGTCATGCCTGTCCCCAGGGTAGGGGAGTGTTGTTGTTGTTGTTGTTGAGTATTGTGTTGTCTAGTCTGTTTTCTTGTTTTCAATATGAATTTCATACATTTCAATTTTCAGTTAACACAATGAAGGTACCGTCGCTGAGAAATCTCCCATCTGTTTATTTTGGTACCATATTTGACCTATTCAGTGTACCTCTTCTTTTCTTAGTAGATGATCATGAAGGTTTAGCATTACTTACCTCCCTTGTCTTACAAAAATTTAACCTAATAATTCTCGGCACCTAAATAAAAAAAAACACTAAATTTCCAAGCCACAATCAATTGACCAGTGATCTGCATCAATTTTCATATTTTGATGTCATATTTGAAGGATATCCTATTTTGAGGATTTCGTAAGCAAACTTTACACTTATGAGGTCAAATACGGTATGATAATTTCATATGTATTTGTTATTTGCAGGTATATTAAACTATTGCATTTAGATATATAAGTATGTATATATTTCGGTATTACATTAGCCATTATTTGATATATATAAGTTTTTATACATTTTTGTGTGGTATATAATTGTCAACACTAATTCAGCTGTACCTACACTGTGTCTGAATTCTTGGTGTTGTTTGTTTAAGTGTTGTACTAGTATCATAATATTCAAACTAAAAATTACCAACATTTAATAATTAATTGATTTTGATTTATTTTAATAATTTCCGTGTGTATATTATCATATCTATTGTATTATTGACCAAAGTTGTCCCATATACTATTATTTAGTCATTTATCTGCATCTTATAGGATTTGATGAAAACGTTGTATGTGTATATACTGTATTTTGTGATGTGTTTTTTGTGTATTCAAGTTATATGGTCTAATATATCTGTTTGACAGCTTAGTGGTAAATAAGTGTGCTTTGGTTCTGGTGTGTTGTGGAATAAATCATCAGACTTGATCTTGTAAAATCTGTCAAAGGGATGTTATGCTGTTTAGATTTCCTACAGTTTACCGTACTGTAAAACTAAACATTTTCCTTGGGGTTTACCAGATTCAGGAGAATAGATCTCCTGAAATCAACCAAGAACAAAAAATAGAATGTGAAAATTTTAGGAACATTTGCTTTTGACATTTAAGTATAAAAACCTCTTAATAAGCTGGGTTACTGTCATCTTTGCTAGCCAAGTGTTAGCTTCGTATACACTCCACTTCACGTAAGTGGAGTGTATACGAAGCGAACACTTGGCTAGCGAAGATGGGTTACTGTAAGTTAATGATTTTGTTTGTGTGTAGAATTAACAAAAATTGGAATTTGAATTTGAATTTTCTAATCTGTCACATGAATGAAACATCACATGACCAAAAATTTAAATCATGTGACAAGACAATGTTAAATTATCTGGTTTATATGTTTCTGATCAAATCAGATTTAACAAAATACCTGGTATGCATAGTACATGTATAAATTTGTGTTAAGTTTCTGTAAGACCAGTCAATGATAACGTGATGTTTTAATAGTCCTGTTTGGAATGAGTCACCTATTGTAACGTTTCATATGCAATATTTTCTGTCTGTATGTTACATCTGAATGTACTAAGAATACCTATATATATATTTTTTTATATTAATCCATATTATTATGTTGCACAAGTACATTTCAAAGTTTACAATAAATTTCTGTAAATATCAGAGATGTTTTATCAAGATTTCAGTTATATCTATAGTTTTGGTAAGGTATGTAAAAGGACTATTTTTAACTTAAAGTGATTGTGAAAAAACAACACTTTAACAGATAAATCTAGTACCTTGAATGGAATTTATCCTGTGCTACATAATAATTCTATATTCATAAATTGTGTAGAATATATAATGTATGTATTTGATGTGTTGCTTGATGTTGTAATTGTTTATGATGTACGAGTTGTGATATGCATACCTGTGTATGGTATAAACATTATGATATGCATACCTGTGGATGGTGTACCAGTTGTGATGTGTACCTGTGTATGGTGTACCAGCTATGATATGTACCTGTGTATGGTGTACTAGTTGTTATATATACCTGTGTATGGTGTACTAGTTGTTATATATACCTGTGTATGGTGTACCAGCTATGATATATACCTGTGTATGGTGTACCCGCTATGATATGCCCCTGTGTATGGTGTACTAGTTGTGATATATACCTGTGTATGGTGTACTAGTTGTTATATATACCTGTGTATGGTGTACTAGTTGTTATATATACCTGTGTATGGTGTACTAGTTGTGATATATACCTGTGTATGGGGTACCAGCTATGATATGTACCTGAGTATGGTGTACTAGTTGTGATGTGTACCTGTGTATGGTGTACCAGTTATGATATGTACCTGTGTGTGGTGTACTAGTTGTGATGTGTACCGGTGTATGGTGTACCAGTTGTGATGTGTACCTGTGTATGGTGTACCAATTATGATATGCGTACCTGTGTATGGTGTACCAGTTGTGGTGTGCCTTCATGTATATGGTGTACCAGTTGTGTTGTGCCTACATGAATTTGGTGTACCTGTTGTGTTGTATACCTATAATGAGAGTTTATTTACACTTGTATATGGTGTACCTGTTGTGTTGTATATACCTTTACCTAGAGTTTGTTTACACCTGTATATGGTGTACCTGTTGTGTTGTATACCTATAACGAGAGTTTGTTGACACCTGTATATGGTGTACCTGTTGTGTTGTATACCTATAATGAGAGTTTGTTTACACCTGTATATGGTGTACCTGTTGTGTTGTATCCCTATAACGAGAGTTTGTTTACACCCGTATATGGTGTACCTGTTGTGTTGTATACCTATAATGAGAGTTTGTTTACACCTGTATATTGTGTACCTGTTGTGTTGTATACCTATAACTAGAGTTTGTTTACACCTGTATTTGGTGTACCTGTTGTGTTGTATACCTATAACGAGAGTTTGTTTACACCTGTAGACCATTCCATACCACCGCTGCCACCACCGCCAATCTGGCCTTCCCAGGAATTTAGCGAGATATTCAACCTGGGCAGGCCGCCAGCCTCCGCTTACGGTCCGACTAGCGCCACCTATAGCCCCGTAGTCGTAGATAGACCTCCGAGTAGAGATATCATGGCTAGAGGTAGCAGTTGTAATGACGCCTCGCATGGTTTTAGTTGAGTGAACCCCATGATTTGTGTTATATTTCCGGACCCTCCATATAAAACCTCACGTGTGTGCTGAAAATCTGAAACCGAGGTTAACGATCAATGTCAATTAACAGGAGATTAACGGTACTTAGTGCTCTAACATTCCAATCTAATTAAATGTGTTTTCAGTGTTGATTTTAAAATATATTTTACGATAATGCACATGAATGTAATAAATGTAGTTGGAAAATCAATCTTTACAGCTGAGGTTGTAAAACAGCCTATTCAGAAAGTTTTATCATTGTCAGATTAATATAAAGCAGTCTCTGACCCGCTATGATGTGGGGCCGTCATTGATGTCTCATTGTGTTGATGTATCGCAGGCTTTGATTGCGTTGATGATGTATCAATATATATTTTTCAGTAACAATGTATGCTATTGTTTCCGGAACTGGAACCAAAATTGGCACTAAGAAATGAAACTATTTCATAAATGAGTACATTTTATCAAATTTTACCGCATCACCATTGTGTAGAATAATATTAAAATATATCTATCAAAAGACAGAAATTGTTCTGATGAAGTTTCACTTTGAAAAATTCAAATCAGGTGAATGATAAAATCATGATGAAGTATTAAAAATAAAACAGCAGCATCCCTCCCTACATGTGACAGAGAATGATCGTGACTAAATGTCAGCATGTATAATGTAATTGATTCTAAACATGTAACGTCAACAAGTATAATGTAACTGATTCTAAACATGTAATGTCAACAAATATAATGTAACTGATTCTAAACATGTAATGTCAACAAGTATAATGTAACTGATTTTAAACATGTTATGTCAACAAGTATAATGTAACTGATTCTAAACATGTAATGTCAACAAATATAATGTAACTGATTCTAAACATGTAGTGTCAACAAGTATAATGTAACTAATTCTAAACATGTAATGTCAACAAGTATAATGTAACTGATTCTAAATATATCATGTCAACAAATATTTATAATGTAACTAATTTCAAACATGTCATGTCAACAAATATATATAATGTAACTGATTCTAAACATGTAATGTCAACAAGTATAATGTAACTGATTCTAAACAAGTAATGTCAACAAATATAATGTAACTGATTCTAAACAAGTAATATCAACAAATATAATGTAACTGATTCTAAATATATCATGTCATCAAATATTTATAATGTAAATAATTTCAAACATGTCATGTCAACAAATATATATAATGTAACTGATTCTAAACATGGAATGTCAACAAGTATAATGTAACTGATTCTAAACAAGTAATGTCAACAAGTATAATGTAACTGATTCCGAATGTGTAATATCAACAAATGTAGTGAAACTTATCTGAATATGCTATGTCAACATAAAGAGTCTAACTAATTTGAAGGGCTCCCCATTTGAAGCATGCAATGTCAGCACAGACTGTGTAACTAATTCTGAATATATGATGTTGATAAATTGTAACTCTTCTAAGCATGTAATGTCAACAAATATTGTTTAACAATTTCTGAATGTGATTTTAGCAAATTTTGTGTAACTAATACTGATATGTAATGTCAACAATTTAATTCTTAATGTAAATGTCAACAAATGTACTGTAACTTATTTGTAGAATTTAATGTTAACAATTATACGCAATATGTCGCAAGTTCATCAGCTAAATGACAAAGATAAAGCTTGAATCAGTGATATTTTCTGAAATATTTAAATAAAGAAATTAAGACTTGAACTGTTACATTCTGGGATTTTTCAGCACCAGGAAAAAAACATCAACAGGAAAAATACTGCTAAGTTTGAACTAGGTTAATTTGAAAAAATTGCTGAAGTTTGATTGGAGCCAGCAATTTTAACCTTACATGAAACATTATGGCAGGAATTTTTTTTCAGCTTCTTCCATTTTGATATGTTCTATTTTAATGAACAAAATCAAAATGGTAAAAAGTTCAGTTAAATTAAGATAAATGAAAAATCACTGATTTCTGTGAAAGGTTTTGTGAGTGTGTTTGCATGATAAAATTGGATAAATTGGAAAAGAGCGTTTGGAAACGTTTGGTTAAATTAGGCATCTAGGTGTACAGTGAAGAATAAAAACCAAAGTCAATGTCAAACTAACAGTATTAATTGTCCCTAAACACTGCTTTGTCTGTTGGAATGTGACCGAGAGATTTTTTTTTTGTATTGTTGCATGATCTGTGGTCGAACGGGTAAACGTTTGGGGTAGGGGAACTGACAATCAATATCAGCATGTTGTGTTGTGATTTTGTTACATTTAATATTAATTTTGACAATTTATATTGGTTGATAAATATATTAATCTTTAAAACTTGGATTGCTAAAACAGAATTACTACAAACTTTACGGTATTGTTCATTGTTTTATTTATATGTCACATACGTCACACACTGTGTATACGTTTCTGTAATGGTCATTGTGCGCTTATGATACTTCAGTTTTTTGTGATATTGTCGTTTTGTTTCCTGTCGGTACAAATTTAAATCATAGCAATGTATTATCTGTAATTACTTGTATCACTGCTACTAAATATATATATCATACAAACGTACACAAGAAGAATCCATGTTTTTCATCCATCTTGAATGTTGTTTGATGGGAACCTGTATACTCATGTGTGTGTGTATATATATATATAAGTGTTAAGTATATGTCAAGACAAATCCTTCATTTGATTCATCCATCTTGAATGTTGTATGATGGGAACCTATATCTGTACGTCTGCTTGTCCTGTTTTCCCACAGTTCCAGATCAGTTTGCAGATGGATCTCACATGATGCCGCACCCTGAAGGTACACCAAGAACAACCTATCCCACAATTCTTTTCACCTTCCCCCGACATTTCATCACCTGTTTGGTTTAATCACTTGTCACATTTATGTTTTTCGTCCCAACTTCATTATATACATAGCAATTTTTGTTTACCTAAGTATTTTAGTTTTTTGTTAATTTCTTTTTCCAGTAGTTTATTTGTTTCCCTTTCTGATTTTAAAATAGTCATTGTATTTTCTCAATATGTCCTTGCAATAATTATGGTGTTTTCTTTTTGATATGACGTATCTTTAAATTACCTGATATTATTAATACCTCAACACAATTAATACTGTCAGTAGAATTCTCTAACTGTAGTTTCATGTTTTACTTACCGGTAAACAAAATTCTGTTCAATTCATGGATAGATAAATTAGAAATTCTTTCAGTGTAGACTCACTAATCCAGACAGTTTGGTAAAATTTCCAAAGTTAAAATTGTCACTTAAATAATTCTATAAAGTATTCAGATAGTCCTTTTTGTGGACATTTTAAGTCTGGATTGATGAGGTCCTGCAGTGTGTGAATGTGTTATTGTTATAATGTTTATTCTGTTACAAACTCTGCAGCAAATTTAATGCCAATATGTTTTAATTATTTTGTTGCCTTTCATAGAGCGAAGCTATCAGCAGTGTGAGTTACTATACACTTCGATTCTCAGTCAATATTGTGTGTAAAATTATATGGAAATGGCAGTATTTACAAATATTAAATGTTGCATTTACATTAAAAATACAAGAATTACTACACATATACTGGTAAAAGTGGTGTCTCGTATTTTGATTATTTGCAAATATAAATAAACATAACTTGCATCTGTATTATACCTTCAGTAGTTAGAACGGCTTTTTGTGTTGAACATTAGTTAAACTACATGTTAGTGTTGTATTAGTTCTACGAGTCCTGGCGGCAATTAGAAAATCTATATATAACGTATCATAATTATATAGTACATATATATGAATGTGTTGTCATAGAAATGCTACAACAATCAATATTGGTTAATGCTATATCTGAGACTGAGGTCGGAGACAAAAATAAAATACATACTAGATAATACTCACCACTAAATCAGAATACTGTATTGTTGAATTTCAAGATTTATGCAATATTTCAGACTTCTCAGAGTTTCAATAATGTTTTAAATTTATATAAAAAAAAAAAGATTCTTTTTCTCACTTATCTTTGTTTTATTTCCATTTCTTGATGTGAATAAATTAGCAAACTGTTAAGCGTATGTGTGTGATGGTGTTAAAAGATTTTTTTTATTACAGCATCATGAGTAAGAATAAGAAACAATGCTTGTGATTTCGGTACACTGTTTTGTGCTCGTTATACATTATCTATGTTAGAACAAATTGGTGATTTCAACCCCCCAAAAAAGAAAACCAACCCAACTTTACAGAGTCCATTTAAGACTGAGTATATACTGTTGTTTATAGTCTTTATCCTTATGTTGACAACATTATTTTTTATCACATGATTAATGTATTAAACAGCGACTACATTCATCGCGTCATGTATTTTATGTATGAACTCGTGTATTATTACCATTTTATGACGTCGTAACATGATAAGTAATTATTATTTTTCAAAGTCTAAAATTCTACCATCTTAGCTCTATCTATTCTCTCCATTGTTAAGTCAAAATATAATGTTGAAGCCTATAATGTCAATTAGTTATATGACGTCACAATATTAAGTCAAATTACATGAATTCATGTGTGAAACATGACTTGGGTTTGTTCACTGAATAACATGGTAATCCTGTTATAAATTGTTGTTACAATGTATCTACAATATTACGTAGCAGGCACCTTTGACCTTAATGTTTGACCTTTCAGCCACGATGAGACAACAGGAGGCATACCCGGGCCAGTTTGCGGCCCCGGCACCCCCACCCCCGGTGCCCCCACCCCCTCAGGACCCCTTCGGCTACTATGGCAGAGGTTTTCGTGGACAATTTTCTCTTTATAATGGATTGATATTGGTTTTGGATTTGTTTCAGGAAATCTTGTGCATTTTCCACCTGTACTAATAAAGCGTTCTTTCCTCCCTGTTTGCCTGGTTGATAGAAAATGTCAGATTTCTCCAAACTCACAAAGCAGTTTTTATTCCTGTCAGTGTCGTAAAGTTTTTATCTCTGTTAGCCCGTAAAGTTTGTGTGGAATAATTTATGGATAACTTATATGTGTAGATAGAATCATTGTTTGACTGTTCAACATGGAATCTCTTCCCTCTCCAAACATTCCAGAAAAATACGTTTTTAACCCTCGTCATCAGATGGTTGACTACTCAACTCAATTTTTGTTATGTGTTGACTCACTCTGTCTGGTTTGTTATTGCTATTTCTTGGAAAACTACCTTAAACTTGGGATCTCCATAATCAAAACCTGTACATGCTTAAATGAGAACGATTGAAATACAAAATGTCTACCAGGTAGCCATCTTGGATTTTTAGTGTAAAGTTTGTTAACACTATTTCTCTGGAACTACCTTGGTACTAAAGGGATCTTACTGTCCCACTTAGTTCCTAGTTGTGCCTGCTTTAGACTTGAAGGGATCAGAAAACAAAATGTTAGCCAAGCAGCCATCTTAGATTTTGCATATCAAGTTAGTTGTACCAGGTACCATAAATTCTCAAGAAGTACTCATCAGAACAAAAAGTCTAGCTTAGAAGAAGCCCCAAGGTAAGCAAAGATCCCTCTGGGATCTCTTGTCAATTATGATTATTGATTAGTATTAGTGAAAGTTCTCAAGCATCAAAATCCCAATTTTGAAGTGTCAATCTTGAGTCGTGTTGCATTCACTTAGTGACTTTCACTTTGTTCTGGACATTATGTAGGACTATAATCATTGGTTTCTGAAATGAAGTAAGAATATATATCCGAGACCAAATTCCTGTAATTTTTGGAAAGATGTTGCGATAACTTACTGACAATGACATTTTATGAAATGTGGTAAAATCTGTGTGATTGGAGATATCTGACTGTTAAGGTTGTTTATGGAGCCGGGTTTGGCTTCTCTGTAGATGAACTTGTTACAAAATACAGGTCGATTTATGTAATGGCAGGGGAATGGTTTAGCCAATGTTGTAGAAGCAAGGTGAAGGGAATCTGCCTCATTGTGTTGTCATGACATCAGGGTTTAAATTTCTATTATTCTTTTGTCTGGCTTATACTTCTGTCTGTCAGTCTTTCCTTTGTTCCTCTGTTATTCTGTTCTCAACCTCCCTTTACATGTTTTTTCTTTGCCTATTTTCTCTCTCTTACTTGATAGTAGACTGAAAATCTTAATGTTTTCTACCTTTTTTTCAGTTTTCCAAAGCTCCAATTTGTGTTGTTTTAACGTTCCTGTAAATATTTCTTTTCCGTCCGATTTCATTCTATATTCTCTCTATGCATAAACCTAATGCTTACCACACTCTGAACTTTCAAAACTTTTCATTTTCCATCTGATATAGTTTTTGATAATTGCATCTTCATGCATCTTGATTTAGTTACAAACTAGTATGTTTATTGTTTGGTTGTATTTTTTCACAGAAAGCATGCAGTACAGCTACCTGATCAGCAGTCTTGTTGATACTGTGTATACCTGAGCATGTATTCATAAAACTACTCTCATGCTCAAACTCCAATTATGTATGCTCAGACCACCTATAGTGTAGCTCACCAAGGTCTTTAATGGGATCCTAAAACATTCAACACACGGACGGTTCTCTTTGACAAGTTAAATACCTACTAATATAAACTTTATTTATTTTACAATCATTATGAAACAAGTTATTTCAACTTATATTAATCACTCTTTTTGCCAAGGATGTTAGCGCGTGGGGCGGGGAGGGGGGTCTTGTTGTTGGAGGAAACCGGAGTACCCGGAGAAAACCCACGTGGTCGGGCAGGTGACCCCATACCTTTTCACATCCGATCGGGGAATCGAACCCCAGCCGCCTTGGTGAAAGGCAAGTGTGCTATCCACTGCACCACCCGAAATACCTACCAGATATCAAATAATGGGATATTCTAAAAAGTACATTAATTTTCTTGAATTAGGAACACAATTGAGCACAGAATCTCAGTATGAGCATCAGAACAGCATTATGAATGCAGGCCCTGATTTGCTATGCAAGCTTGAGAGTTTATTACAAGTTTACATAAATTATGTATGTTATGGAAATGTATTTATTTTCTGGAATTTAGTTTTGAAACTGTTCTCAATAATCGGCTTGCCATCTTGTGATGGGAACGCCGATAATTTCCAATTCATTTTGAGATGAAATGCTAAACGGCAAAATGATTTATCAAACATATAAAGACATCAGTGGTATGTACCAAAAATTACAAACTTTGTTTTAATTTGTCAATAAAAATTGTTAACATCGGTAAAATTAAAACAGCTTGTCATATCGAAAACCCCACTATCTGTTTGTTTGAATGTTGTATCTGTTTGAATGTGTTTAGATATAGCATTCATAGCTCCTTGGCTTGACATCACGTTTCAGATGGGAATGAGTACTTTAGCTGAATGTTTACGTCTTGGTGTGTAGTCTTAACATATTTTGATGTTTACATGAGCCAATGTTTACAGTATGTAGTATGTGCATGTTTCAGAACTTCGTAATGCGCTGGCCAACAGATCGGCCGCATCTCCCTACAACAGATCAGGTGACCGTGATGCACCACCTAATAATGTCTTGTATCTCACTGTTGATTGGTGAAGAGCACTGCCCATTCGTTACCCTTCAAATCCTCCATCATACACATACCTACTCCATATGGCCTATTGTAATCATCCTCAAAGTAAAAAAATAACATTTTTTTCCCCAGTAATTTCATTTGATATGTATATATTTTTACTGAATCTGTAATTTTATATTAAAACTCAATAGTTTCCTACAAATCTACACTATATGTATACCTAACCAATGATGGCACCTAAGATTAGTTTTGATGTTTTTAACTTTTTTTTCTGTTTTTTTTTTTGTAAAAATATATATTGTACAGTACTTAAATTTTATATACAGTAAGAAGTATGTTGTTTTTTTCAATTCTGCAAAATACTAAACCTGTCCCATATCTGTATGTCACCTTTCCCAAAATCTGTATACCGGTACACCTTTATTGTATCCTTAATTTTTAAAAGTATTAAAACCATAATAACAGCCGTCAATCAATTTTGTTTATGTACACCTACATTGTAACAGCTAGTGATATAAGTTTTAAAAACTTGATGAACCATATCATTTAAATTTTTCATTTTATTTACATTTACTTTGATTTCAATGAATGTTACAGTGTTTTCCTCAAAAGAACATGATAGATGTAATGATATCTGTTTGATGATTATCAGTGGAAATAGGAATGATTTTGATGATGTTTATGAAAAAAGACATAACTTCTTGTGGAGTCAGGCAGTAAAGGGAGGTAACTGGTATGTCACAATAAGAGTCAGTAAAGGGAGATAACTGATACATCTTACATAAATATGACTCCATTTCAGGTGTCTACCCTATCGACCGCTCTGACAAATCCCCAGAGATCCTTAATGCTCTCATCTTTCACCCAGGTGACATATGAGCACTATGGGAACATAGATCCCACCAATATTTAAACCTCCATATAATCTACAGAGTCTGGGTACCTGTATATGCGAAAGAAAATAGATGGCTTCTGTACAAAACAAACGCAGGGAACAGGGATTTTCCTCTTTAAGAATTTTATTGACATTCCCAGGGAATCGCTGATCTTTCTCCTAATTGGGACTGTCAGACACAAATTTTGGAGCACAGGGATTCTTACATTTGCGAATGGATTCCTGGATCCATTCCCAAAGATACAGCGATCTTGCAATTTTTTGGCTAATTTCAAAGTTCCACTACTATTAGGTGTTTATATCACAGGAAATTTAATGATGTACTTTGTAGTCCCTTAATTTGTGTCTTTATCCTTTTATACAGACCCATCCCTAAATCGACCTGACATTGAGATTTCAGGGTCAGTTCCCACAGCAAAATTAAAAGGAAAATCCCTGGGGCAGTTCTGTATCACTGTCCGGATTCTGATGCTGAATGACGCAAGATTGGACTATCTTCCCGATTTCATATTTACAGTACATGTATATCAGTCCAATTATAGAACGGGCAACTATAGATAAAGCCATACAATAGTTTCCAGAGAGGGAAAATCTGTTGGAAGATATAGGGTCAAAGTCAGAATTTTGGACTTGGGTATGCATATATACCTATCTTTCTTAAATTCTAGGCTCTCCGTGTTTATCATGGGTGCAATGCGATAGTGATAATTTTACCTCATTTTTTTGCTGTGCCAGTTAAAACTTTCAAGGGAAACAACTAAAGCTTGATCCATTTTTTAAACCTTTGAAGTCATTTACCTGGTATTCGTAAAAGAAACATTTATGATGTACTTAGTCTTGAAGGAAATCATGGAAAAGAATGTAATTTGCACACTTGAAACTATACAAGTCTAAATTTATTTAGACCAAGAACTGTAAATTACATTTTTTTTATATGGTTCCCTCTATTTGCAGGTGCTTTCCCCCTAGGTAGAAGTAACACTTCCCCTTACATGCGAAGTGGTTACCTGTGTTTCCCTGGTGATACTCACTGGTGCTTTTTAACAAAAGATTTTATAATACTATACACTATATAATATGCCAAGTATATTATATATATTTTTTTTTTTTCATTTTACACAGATATATACATTTTTTATGCAAAGGAATTACCTTATTTTGATAATTAATACTGAACTTTTTATATAGATTATTTTGTGAATATTCACACCAGGAGTTTATACCAGCAATATTTAAAGTACCTGTAACCCTAGTAAACACTAAGCCGCAATATATCGCTCGGCTATAGAGAACTTATCTTTAGCTCGATCGATTGAGCGTACGACTAGTAAGCCAGAGGTCCTGGGTTCAATCCCTATCTCTCATAACTTGTAATAATAAAACACTTAACTAGAGCCTCCTAAACAAACCCCAGATTTTACACCACACGTTTATGTAACCAGTGAATTAAACCATTATATATATAATCACATTTTTGGACCAGATTTCATTATGCTTTCAAGCTACAGTACTAAAGCTTTTTATTAACCTTTTATTTTTGCATTTTTGTCGTAAGTATGTCGATGCAATTTCATATTTATACATTTGACTTTTATATCTACTGTATTGAAATCGCATTACTGAAGTAAAATGTAAATATAGGGAACACCAAATCACCACAGAATATAGAAGGTAATCCCAGATACCTATAACAGAATGTTAACAAATCTTCGGGAACTACCACTTATATGGAGATTATTTCTGAACATACATAAGTGACTATTAGTTTTCTGGAATTTTTGCATCCTTGATTTACCCTTTCACCCCTAGGTAACTTGATTAGACTCTAACGTACATTCATCTGGATGAGTCCATTATGGTCTACAGTGGTAAAAGGGTTAAAAACCCTCCAAATGTCCATATTGATGATATCATTTGGGTATATTTAATATTCCTATCCAAGTATACTCAAATAATATAATGAAATTTGTATATTATATAATTAACTACAAATACCTTGCAATTTTTAATACACAATTTTTGAAAATAACTCTCTCATCCTGTTCATAATATAGAAGTGTAAAATCTGTATAGGGAAGACAGGATCACTGATGGTAAAAGTTTAATCTATTTGTCGGGGTTTAATATTCCTTCACAGCAATGGATGCATGTGCACGAATATGATTTTAAGACACTTTTGTCCTGTAATCATGTAAATCCACACCATCATTATGTAGCAGTAAAGTATGTGTTCACTTTGGCATGGTGCATTTTGAATTTTGGGTATTTCATCAAAGTTATGTGACTTTGTTACTATATTTTTGTATCTTCATTAGTCTTGGGTTGTGTTTTTGATATATTTTTCTCACTGGTAATGGTAAATGTTGTCAAATACAGTATGTCACTCTAAAGTATGTGGTCTAGTGTAATTCAACTCTTATTTCAATTGCAACTCTTATAGAAATTCTTAGAAACATCTTCTCTGTGTTCATTTTCAAACAAGTAATTTCTTATTTCTTCCTCTATTTTAACAATGAATACTGGATCTTTTGTAGATGAATATGTAAATTAATAATTTTATTGTTTTGTAGGAATGCAAGTTTTTGTGTCCAAACCATATATTTCTGTGTAACATGTCACATTACACGAAAACAGAGTAACTTATTTAGTGATGTTTTTGTGTACAGATGGTGCCCCACCACGCCCACCCCTGCCGACAGACTCCACACCTCCCAGGCCCCCACCTCCAGATACGGATGACGAGGATGATATGATCTTCCCCTCTGTGCCTCAGGCAAACCAACCTATCATGGTAAGGGCATCTGACCCACACTTTCTCTTTTCCTATTCGTAGTTTGCACTGTTGTGTACAAAAGATGAATCAACTGACCTACTTTCACTTTGCTAATGATATACTTAAAGGTACCTACTGTTTCTTACATTTCACAATAAAATATGCAAATATGAAATGCTGTTCTTTCACCACAAAAAAAGTTAGCTAAAGTTACAAAAAAAATAAAAATATTCTTATATCTTCAATAAGATTCATCAGTTTACTTTCGACACAAATAATGTACGTATTAAACGTGTCGCAACGTTCAAGACCAACTGGTCCCTTTGTCAAGCTATGACTGAGTGAGCTAGTAATCTGTAACTTATCTGATGCAGTGTGTATTCGCTCCCTATTGATAGGCAAAATGTCCTGGGTCAAGTGATATAATAAATATACAATTTCGCCACATCGGTGTACAGGTAAAAATTACAAATCGCTCACTCAGTCATAGCTTGACGTAGGGACCAGTCGGTCTTGAAATGTTGCGACACGTTTAATATGTAAATTGTTTGTGTAGAAAGTAGAACTTTGATATCCTAATATTCTTCTTTCCAGATTTTTTTGTTTTTGTTTTTTAAATTTATTTGTGGTGTAAACATCACAGATTAGTGGGTCTGAGGATGATAGACCTTTGAGTTGGACAGTATGATGCAGACTTTGGCTCTTTTGATGGTTGGTTTCTGGGTCTGATGATGATGACTTGAGTCTTATTCAATTTTGTAGATGGCTGCCCACGCCTTACACATGGAAACGAAGCAGTGGTCAAGTAAAGACAATGAGATTATTGGTGCGGCCAAGCGTATGGCTATCCTAATGGCCAAACTCAGCCAGTTGGTCAGGTAATACACCCTATCACATATCAAGTCTAGCAGTAGAGGATGAACGATGAGTTTTGGGTGGCAAAGTTCAGCAATAAATGTACTCTCAGGCCTGACATTTATATTGTGTATTTGATTTATTAGCGATTGAAAGTTTCATTTTTAAAAATGATAAATGATTTAACAAGAGATATGACATTTTGAATTTAAGTTATGTTTCATTGCATAAAAGTAGGAGAAATTGATTTCCTTCATGAAATATATAAATATCTAGTGGAGTGATCCTGAAGACCCAACTATGGCATTGTCATATTTGTTCTGAAGTAATAAATAAAACAGTAGCTAATGTATAATCTGTTGATATCAGGGGCGCGGGAGGCTCCAAGAAGGACCTCATATCTACTGCCAAAAAGATCGCTGAGGCATCAGAGGAAGTAACACGGCTCGCCAAGAAACTAGCAGCGGAGTGTACAGACAAAAAAATGAGAACAGTAAGGCTCATACAATTTGTTGTGTATTGAGATATATTAGAATAAATTTGTCAAAAATATAACACCTGTTTCAGGATACCATGCTACCTGTCCTTTACCTGAGACTTCCTCATTAGCTGTGAGGTATCTATAGTGAATCGTTATTTCAGTAATAATTACCATCTTTGTACGTAGCCCAAGACCAATATTACTTTATGATACATTGTAAAAGTTAACAGGAATGCATACTTTGATAAAACTAGGCTAATTCTGAATTACTAAAATTTTGCTAATAAATAGAATATAAAGTTTGGGAATTGTTTTTTCTTTCGATTTTTTTTTATACAGAATGGCCAAAAATATTTCTGGTAACACTACCTAAATATCTGTGTTTACTTGCCATTAAATTCATAAGGTAAATCACTTTTATATATAAAGTAAATTGTTCTTTAGAGCACGTTCATTTCTTTGTTGACCCATCAGAAATGAACAGCTATGTGTAGAGGCTCAATAACTTGATTTTGATATATCCTTTTTTCTTTTCAGAATATTTGATTGTACTGATCTTCTGTATAAAAGGAATTGGGCAAAAGGCATAGCCTATATAAGCCCTCTCCTTAACAAAAAATAACAGTATTTACACATCATATAAACGGTACTTTTACATATGTTTCTTTAAGTATTAAAATAAGAGATTATAAATAAGAATCTGATAAAATCGTCTTATGTCTCTAATGTAATTCTGAACAGTCTCCACAATATTTCTATTCATATTTAGTCTTGTGGTTATAAAGTTTGGGTATTGAGTGGAATAGCACCACTCATCGCTGACAGAGAGTTAAGTGATATTAGTTTTTGGTGAGTATAAAGAGGACAGCGCAGGATAAAGTGATCACAATCTTTGATCTTTGATATATTTAAAAACAACTTTGTGTTTCAGAATTTGTTACAAGTGTGTGAACGTATCCCAACCATCGGCACACAGCTGAAGATCTTATCTACTGTCAAGGCAACCATGTTAGGCGCTCAAGGTCAGTCAGTGTGTCAAAAAATTATGAGACAAAATCGTAAATTTGTGTCCTAGCTGTGAGAAAAAAACAAATGTATACCCGTTCTAGCGAGCAGGTTTTGAAAAAGTATTTTTTTCATAAATCTTCACAGTATTTAGTCTTAATTAAGTTATTGATTAATTGGGCATATGTATTTATGATTAAGTAAGTTATGTTACTTGTATACATACATTAATTTTGTGTTTGCACTTTTGTGTTCATTGTATATATATAAGCTGTCTCCTGTATCTGTGATATGAGAGTATCTATAAATATATGTTGGGAAGAAGAAAGATTCCCTGTTAGAGAACATTTTATAATAGAATGATTGTAAATCATTTATTTTTTTCATTTTTTTTAATGGTGACGGTAGGTCCATTATTAAGTGTTTCAACATGAAATGATTAAACACCTTTGTCAGGGGTGACGGCGAGTCCTTCATAAGCAGGTCAACACACATCTAGAGCCAATACTTGATCTTCTCAGTGGGATGACACTTTATCTGTACATATGAATAATATTATGGTTACAAGTCTTACATATTTTCAGAGCCTATATTACTATGTAGCTCATGTTGGCAATTAAAGTATTCAGTATCGTATAACGCATCTGTAATGATAAGTCAGTGTTGAAAAAAGAAATTGTAAACTTTTCAATATTGTGTCCTAGCTCATGATGTTAATTCAGTTATGTACAATATAGCAGTTACTGTCTTATGATGCGTTTATAACGCGAAATCTATGTTGGGAAAAAAACTGATTTGTAAACGTTTCAACATAGAACCCATACCAGCTCCCGACGGCAGCGAGATAGCGTGTGGTAAACTTCGGTTAATTATCCTCAGCATGACCTCCCCACATCCTCCTCGTCACGGAGGTCACTAACCACACATAAAACTGCCCCCTCCCCAGTACTATAACAAAACTGGCCGTACTGACCAACAGATGTGTGGTTTGTGTGCAGTGAATGATATCACATGATGATTCCATCTTGGTTGATGCAGCATGGGTAATATGATAGATTTACACCATATATGTATACTTTCATCACAACTTGACGCTGAAAAAGAAAATCAGGGCAATCAATTGTGTATCAAGTTTAACTCGTTCACCCCTGAATGAAATTTCATAGTGAACTATTCCATCCTTTGAATTGGAAGAGTTCAAATGTGTCGTTAGGGGTAAATGAGGTAAGCTGATATTTAAAAAAAGAAATGATTGAAAGTTATCAACATCAACTAAAAACTTACCATTTAACTTATAAAAAAAAATCACATTTTGATTAAATTTAAATGGGAAAAAAATCAATCTATTTACTGTAAAATATTCGCTTTTAGCTAAACTTATATATTTTTTTTAATTGCATAACTTTTAATAACAACGGCTAAGTATTGATTTACATGAAATAGTTGAAGTAAAAGAAAATCTAACTTTTCAAACCAATTATACATAATGATCAATCCAAGACTTCCATCATTTGATATCATTGGATAATAATTTGAATTCTGGTTGTTCCATGCATCAGTGTTTCGTCTATTTGACGGAATTAAGTGTTAGTTTTGATCTTGCGAATTCTTGATCTGAATTGTGATTTCTTGTTGATGTGATATTTTGAGGTATGTATCATGAATAGAGATAGATTTTGTTGTAATATTAAATTGTGGTATCTTTATTAGATTGTTCTGGTTTTGCCAAAATCATTGCCTTTCAGTTTTGTCATGAACAAAATATTCTTTTCACTAGCGCATCATGCTTGGTTTGAATGTGTAGACTAGTGCATCATACTTTATAATATCAAATAATACTGCATGCTCAATTTGTTTCTTAACTGTCACATTCTCATGCTATGTCTGAATGATTTATATATGTTACATACATTGTATGGTGGTCGGGTGGTGCAGTGGATAGCGCTCTTGCCTTTCACCAAGGCGACCAGGGTTCGATTCCCCGATCAGACGTGAAAAGGTATGGGGTCACCTGCCCGACCACATGCGTTTTCTCCGGGTGCTCCGGTTTCCTCCCACAATAAGACCCCCGCGCGCTAACATGCGGGCCAACACGAGTGATGAACATAAGTTGAAATAACTTTTTTCATTTTTGTTGTAAAATAAATTAAGTTTATACATACATTGTATGTATCTGGTTTACTCTTCTGTCATATCCCTATCACATTCTTGTGTATTTCTGAAAATTTTCAATACGGTATCTGAACTTATGATCTCACGTTTCACCATGAGAGACTCCATTCTTTTCAACATCTCCATAACTAAATTACCTTGAAATCGTCCCCTTTTAGTATTGTTTTCGCCTGCATTTAAAATGGTTCCACTTGACTTGCCCATTCTTTGATTTGATAAGGTTCAAATGTGACTTTAGGGATGAATGGTTTAAGCTAATTCTGTGGTTAGAGATGTCCACAGTTCATAATTAAATTTTTGAAAAATGACAGGATCAAAATTAAAAGTTTTGGTCTGGATTAATAAAGTAATTTGAAATTTCCTAATGTAACCAATTTTTGCATATAGTCTCATCATTTAAAAATATCAATGTAATTTAAGAGTTTTCAACATTGATTTTTTTCAATTGATACTTAACGATACAAGGTTTAGTAAGGTAACGATGATTGGAAGCGTCTACTGTGGCGTGTTTGATTGTGTATCAAGGCTGTGACAGACTTGTCTGGATGGTTGTCGGTGATTTGTCTTCCTCTAAATATAATCTGCTTCTTTTGCATCCATGAATATATGCATTGTATACACAAAAACTAAATGGTGATTGAAGACCAAATACGTATCAAAATATACCAACATATTAATTTATAGCTTTGAGGGAATTGGGAAAGCATGAATTTGGTGCGGTATAATTTTACACACGTTAATTTTGGTACACTATTGAAATATTTAAAACAAAAAGAAATACCTGTATTTCAATCTAGGAAACTATTTTAGACACATTTTAAATCATTAGACAAATGTAACACTGATTGTAGTTGTGATGCCTTTATTTTGGATTTCTTTGAAATTTTCTGCCGTATTTTTTTTAAGGATTTCTGTAAATTTTCCTCACCTTCTGTCCCAGCAGAATTGTGGATTGTGAAACGACTGAAGTTCTGGAATTTGAAATAGAAAAACAAAATCTGTCTTCAAAAACTGATAGTGAGAAATACAGATGAGTAGCTAGCCACTGGCCGGAAATTCACTCTATCTAGTTTCTGAAGTGGCGATTCTGAACAGTATCATCGTTAGGGAAGGGAGGTTTAATTTAATATGGAATGGGCACCATAAAGGGGGATATCAGAATTTACATCATTATGATTATTCAGTTATTTTTTTAAATTCAAATTCTCACAAATAAGTTCAAAACTCACTACGGTACCCTAAACAAGTATGAATTCGCAAAAATGAATTACTTGTTTCAATTGTATGTATATCAATTGATTCTATTCACAAATATTACTTCTTTTCTTAAATGCAAAAAATGTATATGTTGTGAAATAATCACAAGTGATATATATATATACAACACTTGAGCTTCACTTGTTATATATATGCTTGTAGACAGTAGAACATTGTATTGTTGTCATTGTGTGTTATATTTGTGCTATAACCTTTCATGATCATTTCTAACACAACTGCATCTTGGTTTTTTTCCTGCTTTTTCTGCGTGCCTGTTGCCATGGGAACAGAATCTAGTAAGTGCATTAACGCTTTCTGATGTGTCATATGTGCAGTCAGGTATTCTAATAACAGTTTCTAAGAAGCGATGACTGTTGATTAAGCCTATCCTAACTAATTAGACTTTCTGGAATTTAAGACTGCTTATGACATATCCAATCAATTTGACCAATTTTGACCTCATTTCATTCAACTCGTAAAATTGGTACCCCATCTCATAAATATCTATTTTAAAACTCTTTTTATATCTATGGCTGGTAAAACAACGTCTGAAAATTGAACAAATAAATTCATTTTTAACAAAACGTTCTTTTTTAGTACATTATAACCTGTCTTAATTAAACATTACTTAGACTAATGTTTTTGTCAAAAAAGAAAATGTTTTCTAATTCATACATATTTGGTGTGGATTCTCCCTATATTTTACCTTGAAAAACTCTCTAAAGAATCGAAATCTCTCAACCATGGGTTGTAACATTACAAATTCTTAGGTTAAAGAATACTTGCAATGAAAATCTTCCTACCAAAACTCAATCTCCCTACCAGTGGGATAGAAATCTCCCTTATATTTGTCCTGAAGTCATCACATTTATATAAATTTGTCAGTTTCATTATCTACACAATGATATGCTATGTTAAGTGTCTGATTTACACTAGTATCCAAATCTTTCAGGGACCGGTTAAGACAGGTTACAATGTAATTTAATTGTGCATAAGGGAAATTTTCAAAAGATGATAGTTTTCGCTGTTTTTCTTGTTGGATAATTACTTTAATTTTTAGTATGATTAGGTAAAATTGTGAAGATTAAACAAATCTTCATTCACAATCTCAAACCTGGGACGAGTCTCAGCTGAAATAGACAGTGTACCTTCAGTAGCTTGACTAACATTTCATTATAATAATCATTGTGTCTCTCTTATATCAGAAGGGATCGTCTTGTCAGGATCCTGCTGCTAGCAAAAACAAAACAAGTCAATTGTACTTGAAAAAAATCTATTATAACATTATTACTTGTATGTAGATTTTGTAGCATAACAGTCATACACGTAATACATTAGTGATGATAAATACATTTAGTTAATATTTTATCTATTATCTATAATCCTTTGAAATTACCCTTTTGTCTCTGCAAAATGTAAATGTTCAAGAGAATGCCAAATACAGCTATTATATAAAAAAATCATGTTCATGACCCTTGACCTAAGATTCCTTTTTATAACAGGTTCGGAGGAGGACCAGGAAGCTACGGAGATGTTAGTTGGTAACGCCCAGAATCTCATGCAGGCTGTCAAGGAAACTGTCAGGGCTGCTGAGGCTGCTTCCATCAAAATTAGAGTAGACTCAGGGTAAGCGTCTCACACAAAGTCTGAGTAGACTCGGGTTAAGTGTCTCACAAAAGTCAGGGTAGAGTCAGGGTAAGTGTCTCATACAAAGTCAGGGGAGACTCAGGGTAAGTGTCTCATACAAAGTCAATGTAGACTCAGGGTAAGTGTTTCATACAAAGGCAGGGTAGACTCAGGTTAAGTGTTTCATACAAAGTCAGGGTAGACTCAGGGTAAGTGCCTCATACAAAGTTAATGTAGACTCAGGGTAAGTGTCTCATACAAAGTTAATGTAGACTCAGGGTAAGTGTCTCATACAAAGTCAATGTAGACTCAGGGTAAGTGTCTCATACAAAATGAGAGTAGACTCAGGGTAAGCGTCTCACACAAAGTTCGAGTAGACTCAGGTTAAGTGTCTCACAGAAGTCAGGGTAGAGTCAGGGTAAGTGTCTCACACAAAGTCAGGGTAGACTCAGGGTAAGTGTCTCATACAAAGTCAGGGTAGACTCAGGGTAAGTGTCTCATACAAAATGAGAGTAGACTCAGGGTAAGCGTCTCACACAAAGTTCGAGTAGACTCAGGTTAAGTGTCTCACAGAAGTCAGGTTAGGGTCAGGGTAAGTGTCTCATACAAAGTCAGGGTAGAGTCAGGGGAAGTGTCTCATACAAAGTCAGGGTAGACTCAGGGTAAGTGTCTCATACAAAGTTAATGTAGACTCAGGGTAAGTGTCTCATACAAAGTCAGGGAAGACTCATGGTAAGTGTTTCACACAAAGTCCGAGTAGACTCAGGTTAAGTGTCTCACAGAAGTCAGGGTAGAGTCAGGGTAAGTGTCTCATACAAAGTCAGGGTAGACTCAGGATAAGTGTCTCATACAAAGTCAGAGTAGACTCGGGTTAAGTGTCTTATACAAAGTCAGGGTAGACTCATGGTAAGTGTTTCACACAAAGTCCGAGTAGACTCAGGGTAAGTGTCTCACAGAAGTCAGGGTAGAGTCAGGGTAAGTGTCTCACACAAAGTCAGGGTAGACTCAGGGCAAGGGTCTCACACAAAGTCAGGGTAGAGTCAGGGTAAGTGTCTCATACAAAGTCAGGGTAGTCTCAGGGTAAGTGTCTCATACAAAGTTAATGTAGACTCAGGTTAAGTGTCTCATACAAAGTCTGAGTAGACTCAGCTTAAGTGTCTCATACAAAGTGAGAGTAGACTCAGGTTAAGTGTCTCATACAAAGTCAGGGTAGACTCAGGGTAAGTGTCTCATACAAAGTCAGGGTAGACTCAGGATAAGTGTCTCATACAAAGTCAGAGTAGACTCAGGTTAAGTGTCTCACAAAAGTCAGGGTAGACTCAGGTTAAATATCTTATACAAAGTCAGGGTAGACTCATGGTAAGTTTCTCATACAAAGTCAGGGTAGACTCAGGGTAAGTGTCTCACACAAAGTCAGAGTAGACTAAGGGTAAGTGTCTCATACAAAGTGAGAGTAGACTCAGCTTAAGTGTCTCATACAAAGTGAGAGTAGACTCAGCTTAAGTGTCTCATACAAAGTGAGAGTAGACTCAGGTTAAGTGTCTCATACAAAGTCAGGGTAGACTCAGGGTAAGTGACTCATACAAAGTCAGGGTAGTCTCAGGGTAAGTGTCTCATACAAAGTTAATGTAGACTCAGGTTAAGTGTCTCATACAAAGTCTGAGTAGACTCAGCTTAAGTGTCTCATACAAAGTGAGAGTAGACTCAGGTTAAGTGTCTCATACAAAGTCAGAGTAGACTCTGGGTAAGCGTCTCTTACAAAGTGAGAGTAGACTCAGGTTAAATGTCTCATACAAAGTCAGGGTAGACTCAGAGTAAGTGTCTCATACAAAGTCTGAGTAGACTCAGCTTAAGTGTCTCATACAAAGTGAGAGTAGACTCAGGTTAAGTGTCTCATACAAAGTCAGGGTAGACTCAGGGTAAGTGTCTTACACAAAGTCAGGGTAGACTCAGGGTAAGTGACTCATACAAAGACAGGGTAGACTCAGGGTAAGTGACTCATACGGGTAGACTCAGGGTAAGTGTCTCATACAAATTCAAGGTAGTCTCAGGTTAAGTGTTTCATACAAAGTCAGGGTAGACTCAGGTTAAGTGTTTCATACAAAGTCCGGGTAGACGCAGGGTAAGTGTCTCACACAAAGTCAGGGAAGACTCAGGGTAAGTGTACCTTGGGGTAGACTCAGGGTAAGTGTCTCACACAAAGTCAGAGTTGACTCAGGGTAAGTGACTCATACAAAGTGAGAGTAGACTCAGGTTAAGTGTCTCATACAAAGTCAGGGTAGAATCAGGGTAAGTGTCTCATACAAAGTTAATGTAGACTCAGGTTAAGTGTCTCATACAAATTTAATGTAGACTCAGGGTAAGTGTCTCATGCAAAGTCAGGGTAGACTCAGGGTAAGTGTATCATACAAAGTCAGGGTAGAATCAGGGTAAGTGACTCATACAAAGTCAGGGGAGACTCAGGGTAAGTGTCTCATACAAAGTTAATGTAGAAGGTTAAGTGTCTCACAGAAGTCAGGTTAGAGTCAGGGTAAGTGTCTCATACAAAGTCAGGTAGACTCAGGGTAAGTGTCTCATACAAATTCAAGGTAGGCTCAGGGGAAGTGTTTCATACAAAGTCAGGGTAGACTCAGGTTAAATGTCTCATACAAAGTCAGGGTAGACTCAGGGGAAGTGACTCATACAAAGTCAGGGGAGACTCAGGGTAAGTGTCTCATACAAAGTTAATGTAGACTCAGGTTAAGTGTCTCATACAAATTTAATGTAGACTCAGGGTAAGTGTCTCATGCAAAGTCAGGGTAGACTCAGGGTAAGTGTATCATACAAAGTCAGGGTAGAATCAGGGTAAGTGACTCATACAAAGTCAGGGTAGACTCAGGTTAAGTGTTTCATACAAAGTCCGGGTAGACTCAGGGTAAGTGTCTCACACAAAGTCAGGGAAGACTCAGGGTAAGTGTACCTTGCACAAACATAGAACGGAAATTGACTTCAGACTGAGATTTAATTCTACACAAGGAATCAGGGTTGATATTTTGGCAAATCATTTTGACACAAATTTTGAGTTGACCCTGGTAAGTGTATTCTATACTAAATCAGAGTTGACTAAGTATGTACATTGTTCTCTGCAACAGATACTTATGTAGCCACCCCATCTCTAAACAAAACAACAGAGTTTAGTACAGCCATTTTATCTAATGGCTCGTTAAAAAGGTCAAGGTCAATTACTGGTGTTTCAGATTGAGGTTTATCAGAATATCGGAGAAATGTAATAAAAGTGTGTTTTGTCATTTCGTAAAATGTAACCAGCAACATTCTGTCTTAAATGTGGTATGTCTTACAATATGACAAAAGTATTTTATGATGATAAAAAAGCAGATGGGTGGTAACGTGGTGCAGTGGATAGCACACACGCCTTTCATCAAGATGGCCAGGGTTCAATTCCCCAAATGTGAAAAACAATTGGGTTACGTGCCCAACCACGTGGGTTGTCTCTGGGTACTCTGGTTTCCCTACACGTTGAGAGAAAGCTTCCATCCATGCCAATTAGAGTGATTACTGGTCATTTATAATTGGAATAACTTAATTCATAACTGTTGTAAACTATATGAATAAAGTTAGTATGTATAACAAAGATAATTGATGCTGAATGGTGATAAAAGAATAATGTTGAAAATCAATGATAACGATGATTTTGTTTTCAGATATACAATTCGCTGGTTGAGGAAGAGGCCATGGTACACATCATGAGTGTGAACTAGCCACTGGGCAGGGGACAAGTAATATAATTGAGGGGATCCGAATGAACAGAGTGGATATTCCATGGAACAGTGCAGAGAGCTTACAAATGTCCTGACATGTCAAGTGTATTTGTTGGACAGAAGTAGTCCTGTGAGGAAATTTGGGGTGGGGATCGTGTGTTTGTACAGGATGTTGTCCGTGAATGTGTATATGTGAATTACTCTAGCTTTTCATTTGGAATGTCTGCGTGTATTGAAGAAAATCTTACAAAAAAATTATGGTGCAATGGCTTGTTAGATCAAACCAAATTGATTCTAGTTCTTAAGCTTGTCATCCTCGTAAAAATTTGAAGTCGGGCAAGTTTGACATCAATCTGAATTTCTACAGTTTCTGTAATACATAATTCCTGGAATGAATTATGAAAAAAAATGTCTCTGTCAGCAAGAGGTATTATGTGACAAAATAACAAGGTGATATATTTGTAGAAATGATAAAAGAATTCACTCATCCCGTATTTTTAAAGGAAATTTCATTCTCAAATAAAATCTCAAAATCTTCTAAAATAAAATAGAAATTTAAAAAAAAAATGTTTGCTGGTAAATTCTGAAGAACTACAATTTGGTTTGATGTTGCCTGATTATTAATTAGATATGTGTGTTTTTTCTATGTACTGGAAACCAATGGGGATACAAATAGTTTATCATACATTACCAAATATCTGGTTCATGTTGTTGGGAGCGTTACTTAAATAGTATGAATTTATCGAAATTGGTCAAATTATCATGAATGGTATTTCATGCAGTACATGAAAACGATGAGATTATCAGACCAGTATTGACAATAGTGTTAACCTATTCTGATGCTATTGATCGCCTTTTTTCGACTTGAAAAATGTCTGTTAATTTCTTAGCGGTTGTGTCACAGAGGTCCGCCATTTTTGTGTTCAACATTGTTTATTTCAAACACAAACCTTTTTCACTTAGAAAGTCACCTCGCTGTACGTGACAGTTGGAATCATCATACCATCCACATGTTGCAAGATGAAAATCCCAGAAATAGGGCTCAAATGTTTGTCTCAAGTGTATCACATGTGAACGAATTCCTCATCCTCACCTAGATTCCCTAACACACAAATTTAAATAGTCATTATTACATCATGACACACAAAAAATAACGCAAATGTTCCCCGTGAATACAGCTTTCATTTAAATTTTTATAATCATGTTAAGCTGTATGCATTCTAGCTTTGAATAAAATATTTTTTCATATGTTGTTTTCTTCCCTTAGATTAGAAAAGAATGATTTTCAAACTTTTTATCTCGCCATAGAGTAGAAAAGAAACGTTCGATGTTGAAATAAATAAGTTTCCCATTTTTTTCCTGTGTAGTTTGTTTTGTTTCGTGATACAGCTAATTATGGTTATGTTTATAATATCCCCCTAGCTCTTTGTTATTGTACTTGTTTGCTGTGTTCCAGTGTATATAGAAGAAACAATGTCTAGATATTGTCCCTGGGACGCCCTAGTTATGACGTCATGGTGCTACGTTATTAATAAACCACACAGTTTAACGTTAAGATATGTTAAATGTCTTCTGTAACGACCCTTGGTAGTATACTTCAGGTATTTAACAAGGTCATTCTGTATTAACTATAAACTCATTGGAATATAAAATGTACCTTATACATCCCCAAAAAGTATGCAATTTTTCTATTGATAAAGTTTAATGTTTGGAAGACATATGTTTTCTCACACTCACTGCCAAAGAATATCTCACCTGCATGCACCAATAGTTTCCATCACTTACATTTTTGCCAGTAGAATTCAAGGGGTTCTAATAAAAATAAGATGAAAACGCAGTGTAAATGAGGAGATTATAGCTCACTACAGATCAGTAATTTCTGTGTAGGAATTTGTATTGCATAATTTCTCACCACACACTGCTGGGATCATTGTAGAAATGCGTACCATACCAGGGTACATTGGTACTGTACCAGGGTATATTGATTGTGTACCATACCAGGGTACATTGTGTACCACACCAGGGTACATTGATTGTGTACCATACCAGCTGGGTACATTGATTGTGTACCATACCAAGGTACATTGACTGTGTACTGTACCAAGGTACATTGATTGTGTACCGTACCCGGGTACATTGTGTATCACACCAGGTTACATTGATTGAGTACCATACCAGGGTATATTGATTGTGTACCGTACCAGGGTACATTGACTGTGTACCGTACCAGGGTATATTGATTGTGTACCATACCAAGGTACATTGACTGTGTACCGTACCAGGGTATATTGATTGTGTACCGTACCAAGGTACATTGACTGTGTACTGTACCAAGGTACATTGACTGTGTACTGTACCAAGGGTACATTTATTGTGTACCGTACCAGGGTACATTGCTATGTAAGAGGAACCTGTGTATTGTGATAGGAAGTGTTGATCCTGGGAGCTGTTCAGTCTAGCCAGGTTTTGCTGTATTACCAGACACAGCTGGATGGTCCTCTATGATACATTATTAAGCTTGTGCCATAGCTAGTCATTATGTAACCAATCTTTACTCCAATACTTTATGATTTTATACCCTGCTGTATGTTATGATTTATATAAAAATATATATGTATACATCTTTAGACAACTGTTTTGGGAGGGAGAGATTTTGATCAATCTTATAATAATGTGGGAACGCCCTTAAGGATATATACTACCTAACGCTGTGAAGAGTTCCACATTTAGAAATATGAAGAAATGATAATATATTTGAAAAGTTCTTAAGATTTTATGTGTTGATAATGCTCAGATCAGTCTTCATTATCAAAGAATGCTAATTTTAGATATGTTAAAGGGATATAACTCTCAACACAGGTTACAATTAAGGTAGCATATATCCTTAAGTATGGCTTGAGATTTTTTAGTAAACAAAAATCTATGTTAGAAGACTTGATGATACAAACTGCTACTACATAGAAACTTATTCCAGATAATGTCATTTTAACCCTGACACGAAACCAAACATTTGTGGAGGACAGTATTCGATATGGTTGGAATAACAAAAGGTATACACATTTTTTCCTTGTCACTTTTGGAATTGGAATCTTGTTTTTCTCATAATCACCAAATATCATACAATTTCACACATTTTCTAATTTTATGTAAAAGATGTGAAATTCTAGCTTTCAGTTCGAAGTGACATGTCCCGTTTTGAGGTTATGAGAATTCTTTGGTGGTAAATATTATTGCTGATGCTTGCCTGTCTTTTATAGACTCACAAGTCCAGATCCTTGATCTGAAATATTCACGATATTTATATCAGTCTGTTCAATGGAATCTGAATACATTAGCCTATCTCACTTTCTGTTGAAATTCAATTAGGAGGTGGGGTGGGGTATTGGTGAAACAAATCATTTTACTACTGTGTTAAAAGATTTCCACCAGTCTGAATCATGGATCAATTAATCTGTTTCACTTAATGTGTAGTTTTGAAAGGACAAATAGAGGGATATTTAAATAACAAATCACCTTGCATGTTTCCTGTTTCCATTTTTATAGATTTTCCATCGTCAAAATTAATACCTTACTTATGAAATTCTTTAGTCATTTTTGTTCGATAAAATATAAGGTACCTGTTTGTCATTTTTGTTACAGACATTTGTACATTTTGTTAAATGTATTTAGTACTCAATAGCATTTTTATCGTTCAGTCATTTAAGTATATAAATTTACACCAATAATATGTTTTTCTAAACCTTGTTACTCAGGTGTAAGATTTTCTGAATTTCATCTTCTGTAACTAAGATTGGTTTTCTGTTGTTATAGTTACACACTAAAGAACTTATTTGAATTATCGGAATGTATTCACCTGGTACCTGTAGATGTTAATGGCATACCAGACTTGGTTTGATCATTCACAGTGTGTAAAATCACGGAATTAGATATCTAAGTCTGTGGTACAATGTATGAAAATAATAAAAAATTTAAAAAAGTTTGAAAAGTGACTGGAAAATTCCTGGTACTGTTGTTTATATTGGCGCCTTGATAATAACTTAGTGGCTACCTTTATTTTCAGAAATAGCTGAATTACAAGATGGTGGGATTATTAGGACAATTTTGTATAAGAAAAGAGAAACGTATCCCCCAAAAGTTTTGCAGGATAGTGTGTGACAACCAGATTAGTGATGACCGCATTTATAGATCTCAGTTATGTATCTTTCAGCTGCATCGTAATGGAATGAAATATGGTATTTAAAAAGTAAATGAAATAGTTATGAAGCATTAAGTTGTATGCATAAATTATAGCCTATAAATGTTATGATTGTACAAGAATGTAAATCTGAAGTATTATATATTATAAATGGAGAGATTACCACACAGTAATCAATAAAATATTATTACCTCTGACCCACCCTGTCAAAAGTAGACTGTCCTATTCCATTGATATGGCCAAGCTTACTTGTGACATATAGGGGTGATAGGAGACATGTATTTATTATGTGAAATATCTGTCACATTTGTTGTATGAAAATATTTTTTCCACTGTATCTTACATTTGCTAATTTTTCTCTATCCTAAGTATTTTATATTTTGCTATATTTAAGTGCAATTAGCTGCCTTTGTAATATGTTAATTTTTAAAAGGCATACATGTATAAAATGTGCTTGGTGAACCCCAGCCCTCTTTGTTTACACTCTATGATGTTTAGTGCCTTTAGCAAATTTATGATATATTTGTATAAGATTACAATAAATCTCACTCTTTATAAACACAAGTTTGAGTTGATGTCATTATTGATTTTAATCAGGCCTCACAACTTTATGTTTGTCTCATGGTTTATAAGAGGATCTCAATCAAAGCTCTAGTGCTTTGTCCCAGGTAACCTAAAATTCAGTCAGAGCTAGGGTGGTTGAATCTAAGTTTACCAGGTTCTACTTCCGTTACTGCTATTTGTGGGGCACACAAAGGGGACGTTGTTACTTGTTGTCGCTTGTTCGAGTTTCTTAACAGTTTTCTCTGGATTTGACAGCAAGAAGTCTTTTATGATCCCGATTGATTGAAATCCAAGATGGCCATGGCCGCCATAGCGTCAGATTGAGACATATTCAACTACTTTATAAAAAACATTGTACAGATCTTGACAATGTTTAGTTGAATGTTCCCCTCGAATAGTTCCTAACAAGTTATGGCTCTCATTGCCTTACATACATTTTATGCGAAGATATGTCGGCTGTCCCTCCGTCATCAATTTTGTTTGCCTCCAATTCAGCATCTGCAATCTGTTAACATTTGTTGTGCTTAAATAAAAGTTTCATGAACCTTCTCTTTTCAGAACCAAAAGGCCAATTACAATTTAGTAGGAAGTATTCAGATTTGAGAATCCGGCGGGTCGGAAGGGCAACAAATCTGAGGCTTCTAAAAATACCACGGAACAAACGTGCAATCGGATGACTTTGACATATATTTTGTAGTATCCTAAGTAGATATACCTCAAAGTTTGTAAAGCAAACCAAAATCTGTTCATAAACAGGGACATTGTGCAATATTTGAATACTCAAATGGCTTCTTCTATCTATAGTCATGTTGTTTGGCAAGTAACTAGCTGACATGGAATGGAGGGGGAAAACTTTGACCTTTATCCAGGGTCATATTGGTTTAAACAATATTTTATTCCATTTTTCATACATGAACAGTACACACATATATATAAATGGAAATAGGATCTGGCAGCAATAATTTAAATCTCATAATGACCAATCTCCCTGAAATGTACTTCAACATACCGGTACAATTAAAACATGTAGTGGAACTGGACTGGGTCGATCGTCGGCAACCAGGTAGCTCTATTGGCAGAGCAGAATCCGTCTAAAGTTTGGAGGGTCTTGGGTTTAAATCCTGGTCTGGCTATTACATTTCCCTTTCCCCTGTTACATACACATAAATTGATGACCACAACGGTTTGTTAGAACACTGACCATTTCATGTGATGAACCAAAGATCATAGAGGTTGTATAGGTAGCTATGATGAAAGAAATAATTTAGTAATTAAGAGAACATGAAAAGACCCCACACTGGTACCTAGAATCTACCCGACTCTGATATGTACCTTTGTACCTTGTTGAATATTAGACAGATATGTGACAGTGTTACCATAGATTAATAGTTTGAAGTTTATTTTAATATTCAAAGTTCCAAGGGTGTTCATTCTAGCTTGATTAAAGAGTGTAAACTGCATCAGATAATGGGAAGGAGATTCCACATGCCCGCATCTGTATAGATCTGTCGGAAGTGATTATTATAAAGATGATGAAGTAGGAAGCTACATCCAAGGCGAAGCTGTGTATGAAGAACTTGGGTGCAGCAACGGCCTGTAACAGTGTATAGTAATATTATGGTTTACTAATACATTCTTTAGGTGATTTATGAAGACATACCAAGATGGACAATTATTGCATTATTAGCTCACCTCCCCGAAGGGCTAGAGAGCTGATGCCAATAGCGAGGCATCCGGCATCTGTCAATGTTTCCTTTAAATGACTTCTTCTGAAGAATCATGATATTTGGCTTAAACCTTCCTTGGTTAAAGCCAGATAAAGTGCATAGAATCATAATATTTGGCTGGTAGCTTCTTTGAATGAAGCCCAACAAAGTTTGCAAATGAAAATGACCTTGCCCTACTTTCAAGGTTTTTCACAGTGGTCAAATATGTCGAAAAATTCAAACAAATTCTTCTCAAGAAGCGAGAGGCATAGAATCATAATATTTGGCTGGTTACATCTTGGGATTGAGCCCAACATAGTTTGCAAATGAAAATTACCTCAACCTACTTTCAAACTCACAAGGGTAAAATATGTAAAACACTTTAAACAACTTCTTCTGAAGAACCAAGAGGCATAGAATCATAATATTTGGCTGGTTGCTTCCAGGGATGGAGCCTAACAAAGTGGGCAAATAAATATGAGCTCGACTGTTACAAGGGTCAGACTTGTGAGACAACTTCTGAAGAAACGGAAGGCATATAATCATTATATTTGGCTGGTAGCTTCCACATGCAGCCTGACAAATCTTGCGAATGAAAATGACCTTGATCTACTTTCAAGATCACAGGAATCAAATGGGTTTACATCTTTGAATAACTTTTCTGAATACCCGGGTAACCAAGACTTGGGTTGATAATATTTTTCCTTCCAGAAGCATGATAGAATGCATGATAAAATCAGGGGCTATCACTTGTGTTAAAATGAATGGTCTTATCATTTGTATCAAAGGTCGCAGTGGTCAAATGTTCCAAAAAATATTTAAATCATTATACCCCCTGCAGCAAAGCTGGGGGGGGGGGGTATACTTGAACCAGCTTGTCCGTCTGCAGATAAAATTTGTCCAGCTATGTATTCGCTCATTTTTCAATAGATTTCTTTGATTTTTTTTTGGTTGTGGCAGTAACGTATGTAGTTTTGCCCCCCGATATAATTACGGCCAGACAGGTAGGTACTGCTCAGTGTGAACAGTTTGGGCCAGACAGGTACTGGTCAAATCAGTCAGCTAAGTCCCAACAGTAGGTAGAGAGCATACTCGACAGCTCAGGCCAGACAGGTAGGTACTGCTCAGTGTGAACAGTTTGGGCCAGACAGGTACTGGTCAGATCAGTCAGCTAAGTCCCAACAGTAGGTAGAGAGCATACTCGACAGCTCAGGCCAGACAGGTAGGTACAGGTCAGTGTGAACAGCTTGGGCCAGACAGGTACTGGTCAGATCAGTCAGCTAAGTCCCAACAGTAGGTAGAGAGCAGACTCGACAGCTCAGGCCAGACAGGTAGGTACAGGTCAGTAAAGTCAGCTCAGTCCCAACAGTAGGTAAAGATCACTGTTGAACACTTGAGCCAGATAGTAGATAAAGGTGAGGACAAATTTGGTCAGACAGTAAATACTGATCAGTATGGACAACTCAGGTCTTTATCTTTTCAGCTCAACTGTCTAAAAGGACCAAGGGATTGTATGCTCTAGAGTGGTTTCAGTCACAGTAATCTATCCAACAAGCCTCAGTTTTTACCTCACCTGGCCCGAAGGTGCCGTACTGCGGCGTCCGTTGTCCGTCTGTCATCCGTCCGTCAACTTTTTCTTTTGAACAACTTTTTCTGAAGAACTGGAGGATCTAGGGTCACGATATTTGGCCAGTAGGTACCTGGGATGGAGTGCTATAACGTTTCCTCATTTGAATGACCTTGACCTACTTTCAGGGTCACTGGGGTCAAATATGTGAAAAATTTCAAACAACAATATTTTAAGAACCATTTGGACTAGAGTCATGATTCTTGGGTATGTTATGTAGACCAGCAGTGCGAATATTTTTCTCACTTACAGTAATGAGGTCGAAGGTCAACTTTAAGTGCTAGTCAGGGGTCAAATGTCAACTTTGGCTAAAAGCTTTAACAATCTTCTTCTCAAGTTCCATAATGCCCATTGGGGTCATGATATTTGGCCAGTAGGTACCTGGGATGGAGTGCTATAATGTTTCCTCATTTAAATGACCTTGGCCTACTTTCAGGGTCACTGGGGTCAAATATGTTAAAAATTTCAAACAACAATATTTTAAGAACCATTTGGACTAGAGTCATGATACTTGGGTATGTTATGTAGACCAGCAGTGCGAATATTTTTCTCACTTACAGTAATGAGGTCGAAGGTCAACTTTAAGTGCTAGTCAGGGGTCAAATGTCAACTTTGGTTAAAAGCTTTAACAATCTTCTTCTCAAGTTCCATAATGCCCATTGGGGTCATGATATTTGGCCAGTAGGTACCTGGGATGGAGTGCTATAACGTTTCCTCATTAAAATGATCTTTACCTACTTTCAAGTCCACAGGGGTCAAATATGTTAAAATTTCAAACAAGAATATCCTAAGAACCATTTGAACTAGAGTCATGATACTTGGGTATGTTATGAAAACCAGCAGTGCAAATCATTTTCTCAATCACAGTAATGAGATCAAGGGCAATTTGAAGTGCTAGTCAGTGGTCAAATGTCAACTTTGGTTAAAAGCTTTAACAATCTTCTTTTCAAGTTCCATAAGGCCCAGGGTCAAGATATTTGGCCAGTAGGTACCTGGGATGGGGTGCTATAAAGTTTCCTCATTAAAAAGACCTAGACCCACTTTCAAGGTCACAGGGGTCAAATATGTTAAAAATTTCAAACAACAATATCCGAAGAACCATTTGAACTAGAGTCATGATACTTGGGTATGTTATGAAGATCGGCAGTGCATTTTGTTAGGTCACCTGAGCTTTAGCTCAAGTGACCTATTGCTACCCGTTTTCGTCCGTCGTGGTCCGTCGTCCGTCGTCCGTCATACGTTAACATTTTACATTTCAAACTTAATGTCAAGTTCTGCTGGGCGGATTGAAATGAAAGTTGGTAGGACTGATCGCCTCATGGTCCTGACAAAGGAGGATCTAGGGTCACGATATTTGGCCAGTAGGTACCTGGGATGGGGTGCTATAATGTTTCCTCATTAAAAAGACCTAGACCCACTTTCAAGGTCACAGGGGTCAAATATGTTAAAAATTTCAAACAACACTATCCGAAGAACCATTTGAACTAGAGTCATGATACTTGGGTATGTTATGAAGATCGGCAGTGCATTTTGTTAGGGCCCCTGAGCTTTAGCTCAAGTGTCCTATTGCTATCCGTTTTCGTCCGCCGTCGTCCGTCGTCCGTCATACGTTAACATTTTACATTTCAAACTTAATGTCAAGTTCTGCTGGGCCGATTGAACTAAAATTTGGGAGGAATGATCGCCTCATGGTCCTGACAAAGTGTTGTTAATTTTCGGGTCGATTAGAAATCCAATATGGCCGCTGTGGCCGCCATTTTGAAAAACTATTTCAAACTTAAAGGCAAGTTCTGCTGGGCCGATTGAACTGAAACTTTGTAGGAATTTTCGAATATTCTGACAAAGTGTTGTTGTTTTTCGGGTCAATCAGAAATACAATTTGGCTGCCATGGCCGCTATTTTGTAAATACCTATTTCAAACTTAAAAACAAGTTCTAATAGGCCGATCTCACTGAAAATCGGTCTAGGAATGATCAGCTCATGGTCCTGACAAGTTAAGTTAACATTATACTTAACTATTTTTTACTCAAATTGGTACATATTTCAACAACAAAAATAAATACTGTAGGACTCAGGTGACCGTTAAGGCCCATGGGCCTCTTGTTTCTCTCAATTACAGTAATGAGGTCAAAGGTCAACTTTAAGTGCAAGTCGGAAGTCAAACGTCAATGTGGGTTAAAAGCTTCAATATTAAAATTTTAAATTTCAATCAACAATATCTTCAGAACCTTTTAAGAGATGTTAAAATGTCTTGTGTTCTTGTTACAAAATTTGGTCTTAAGTTACCTATATGTCCGTTTCATGTAACAAAAGAAACAGGTGAGCGATACAGGCCCTCTGGGTCTCTTGTTTACTTTATAAAACCTTATATGAATATTAGTTATGGGCTGATGATCGATTATAATCGAAAATTGATCGGTTAGACCATTCCGATTTCAATTATTGCTTGCAAATTCCATTACCTATGTAATCGGTTCTTCATTGAAGTCAAAGTGTTAATGTTTTCAATGTAAAAAATGTATTGAAAGTCGTATATTCTTACGACTTTTATCATATGATTGATAAAACTGCATAAAACTTGCTTGAAATCCATTCATTAAAAAAGAACGAAAGAATAGTTTTAAAACAACTCTGTCTATTGATAGTAGTGTTTGCTCCGTAAGGGAAACTACGCCGAGAGAGTTGGAGCCGGTGCCCCGGTGTACTTGGCTGCTGTCCTCGAGTACTTGTCACTTTATTTGGGTATTCAGTCCCATAAAATTATGAACCGATTATGCAAATGATCATCGATCGGTTTACTACTTCCGATTACAAACTGATAATCGATTATGATTTTAAACTGATTGCCCATCGCTAATGAATATCCAGGAAGCCTCAGTTTATTTGACCTGTAACATTCTGGGATGAAGGTCTATGAAGTTTGTTCAAATGAATGACCTTGACCCACTTTCAAGATCACTGGGATAAAATCAGTAAAGTCTTAAAAACAAACTCTTCTGAAGGAGCCTAGGGTCATAATTAGTCAGTTGAATTCTGGCAGGAAAAGATTTGATACTTTTCATGGTCTTAATGGTCAAATTTATTAAAACTTTTAAAACACCAATACAACACAATATTTGGCCTGTAACATGCTTGGATGACAAGCTATCAAGTTTGTTCAATTGAATCAAATATTTCACCCACTTTCATGGTCACAGAGGTCATATTTGTTGCAAATGTTAAGGACAGTTACTGTGTAACGGTCATTTGTATATAGGAAGAATCAGAGCGCATTGGTACAGGGATCTCTAAGTTCTGCTACTTGTTCTATTTAAATCTGCAGTCCCTGGTGGAACTACTAAAGCACAAAAAAGGTTCATTATAGCTTATATCATATTAAAGATGTACTCTTCTGAGGTCTAAATTAGGATTAAATCAAATCTCTTATCAATCAAGTGTAACAAAATTTAACAAATTTTCACCAAATTCAAAAGCATACATGCATCTGAGATAATGTGTCACCGAAAATAAAAGGTTATTTTTTGCAGAACATTTTTTTACAAGTTAAAAAAAAGATCATGCACAATTCAGCAACAATTTGAATATTCTAAATACAGTGCTAAAAGTTTAACTTTTTTGACATTATATCTTTCACAAAGTGTCTTTGTATTGCTGTTTTTAACTGTAGCAAGTTGATTTTTGCTGTACAAGTTCTTAATATTCCATACTATGAAAATAATATGCAACAAAGTTGAAAATTATACAATATTGGTACTATATCACTTATTTAGCACTTTTGATAGACCCACTTATCATCTACCTTTTGATCAGTTGAATATTTTTTAATGCATAACTTTTTTATATCAAGCATTCAATCTGCAAAAAATGGTGTAAAAAGTCAATATTGTTATCATATTGAAATATTGGGTTGGCTAAATTGCTTTCCAGAGATAAAAGTACGAATTTTAAAAAGAAATTCCATTTCAATTATTTAGAGGAAAACACTATTTTGATATAAAATTCTTAGAACAACTTTCAAAACTTTACACAAAATAAAATCCTTGTGAAAACCTTAACCTCCATTTTTCAGTCGGTACCTATCTTTTTTAATTGATGGGTAATAGTCCGTGATGTTATTTTACTGCACGAATGTTTCCACAGAAAAATGAACAAAAATTAAGATTTTAAGGCATTGAGAGATTGGGATATCGATAAGTTATATTTCAAACGACAAATCTAATTAAATTGGAATCTGTGGTTTTAAAAACTTGACGAAAAACGTGTACAGATCCGATTAGCAAATCGTAAACAAAGTAAGCAAACAGGTTTGAGTTGACTATTGAGGACAATAAGAACACATCTCCGAGTGAAACTGATCAAAATTGGCAGGTTGATATCAAATCCCTGCAGGCCATCTGTCATCACATTTCTGTTAATTGAGTAGTCTGCCATAATGAATGGCGAGTAAGCCTTACTATAAACCACTCGGTCCGTGGGAAATCTCACAATTACCCCACGGTGAGCCCCCGCCTAACATCCCGTCCAGGCCTCGAATTACATTTGTGGTTATTCTTCTCTTGACTATTTCACAACAGTCGTAGCACGAATTCCTCGAAAAACGTTGCTATCCATACAAAGAAACACACAAGGTATTACACATTTAATATAACGGTTTCCCAACTCTTAGAAAATGACGAAATAGCCCTACATGTATCGACACATATTCACTTGCACGGGCACCTGCTAGTAGCTAGTTAATTGACCTTCCATATATGGCACATTGTATTTAGTGTTGTCATAGAAAAGCCAATCAGCGTCGACCGATTCAAAATTCAGGGGTCGCCGCCAACCAATCAGATTGGACTATTTTGAATGTATTACATTTCTTTGTTATTTGGGTTGAGCAACCGAAATTTACTACGGTATAGTACTACAGGTAAAGGGACTCGTGTATTCGCAACTTCCTGGATAATTTTGACGTTGCAATATATTTCGGAAATTGCCAATTGGAAAATTGACAGTGTTGGAATCTTGGTAAGTTGCATAAGTATAATGATATGTCGTGCATTTATTTGCAATCGAACGACGAACTGTGGGGAAAATTATGTCGAATCCTCTTCCACGGTCGTCCATTAATATCTCGTGTTCTACTTATATCTGTGCACGATGTCGGTAGAACGTTTTGCACAGTAGGGAGGGAGAATTTGTTTCGTACAAGTTTTCAATTCTTTTCAAACATTTACGACAATGTACAATTTATACTTTGTGCAACATTGTTGTCATGTTACCGAGTATTATTTTGTATAAAATGTTGTAATTTTGTAATCAACTGAATGGTTTGGTTTCGTACTACATGAAACCGTACGGTCCTCTCGGACAGGGAAATAATTCAAATGTGCTTTTACCTAATGGTACGGTTAGATTGCCATGGTTTATTCAAAATAATGCACGGGCTCGGTTAATTCAATTTGTGTTCTAGTAGTCATTCTTTCTCGTTTGTGATTGATTGGAAACAGTCGAATACTGTTGTTATTCACGTTATATTTGCCGACATAATTAAGAAATTATAACGAATATCATATTTTCCTGATTCCATGTTATATTTTGCTTGTGTTAAGTTAGTATCCCAGGTTTATATCAGTTTTCACCTTTGTTTGTTTACATTGTTCAACCATGTTGACATTTGCATCTGAATTCAAAATATTGAACCATCAGTTGAAAGCTGGTAAATTTGAAACATGTCTTTCGAAAATGTCTTATATTTGAAACATTTCGGATATAAATATGTTTTTGAATAATTCATCTGCCATATAATATATATTGTTCACTATTGCAGTTTCTTTGTTTACCTGTTGTTTTACTATTTAGCTTTAATGAGTTTAAATGAGCAATAAGATTATTTAATTGAATATATTATGTATTTTATTTGCAGAAATATTGGATCTTTGTTTGATTTTATTATCATGTTTAAGTAAAAAGATATTTCCTGCATTGCTTGTATAAATCTAAAGAAGGCTAGTACAAGGTTGTTTAGATATTTTGAAGTTCTAATTAGGTAAAATATATTTTAAACCTATGAGAATAACACTTTGAAACTAACCTTGTTTATATATATTTGATTTCAGCTCCAATGAGGAAAACTCCGTAATGTTAAGTATGGCATTCTGTAATACATCCGACATGGATTTTCTAGATACAATACCCATGGCCATGGATTCTTCATCGTACGACCTTCAAAACGAAGTTGACAAAATTCTTCAAGGTTCCGACAAATTCCAGGACTACAGTATTCTTAACAACGACAGCAATCACGGAAACTTTGATTTCGAAACAAACAACCAATCTGTTGACGATTGGATCCAGAATATACAATGTCAGTGGAACGATGTAGATGTTGTTAAACTACAAAACAGTTTATTGGACTCATCTTTTGAGGTAGAAAATAATAACCCGAACTTACTAGTAAATCCGCAAACTGGATTACCAGTGAACCATTTCTCTCCAAGAAAACAACTGTCAAGTTCGACAACTGTGAAATCAGAGAGTGGACAGAGTTCATTACTAGCAGATAGTCCCCACTTTACATTACAGACTGATCACAACTTGAATTGTGCAACTCGCGAATCCAATACCACTTCATCCGATCAGTCAAGATTTTCAAATGTAAATAACAATGCTCACATTCAGCCAGTGAAATCTGTACTAAGTTCTCCGTCCCACAATTCTCCCGTCCTGGTCAACCACCTCCAACAAGGATTAAATGGTCGACAAGTCACTGTGACACAGAACAATGTCAAAAAGTCTGTGACCGTCCTGAAATCGGACAATTCTGATCGAGCATTTCCAAAACCAGTTTATTCCTACAGTTGCCTCATTGCTATGTCACTGAAGAACAGTAGAAATGGGAGTCTTCCTGTTAGTGAAATATACACCTTCATGACGTAAGTACTAGATGTTGTGGATTTAAATTTATTGGAGTAATCACCCTATCATTGGCTTGATCTTTTATAGATATATTCTAGCTAAAAGATTTCTTAATCAATCTTCTGGTGCAGATCTTCATGTTACAAGCCCTTCAGGAATAATATGATCACAAATAACAATTAGACATGTTTTTAACTCTTGCCAAAATATTATATAATATTTGAAAGAAGACTTTGATAATATTATGGGTTTATTAATATGTGGCTATGTAAAAAATATTTGGATATGAAAAATCATCAGCTTTTCTCTTATCTAGCTTTATTCTAACTAACAGATCGCAACCTAATTAAATACAAGAAAATTTGCTATCAGCATTAATAAATATACAAAATTGGATTTAAAAAATAATTGTAAAGTCAAAAAAAAAATTTTTTTTCTTTGATATTTAAATATTAGTTATATCTTGCAATCCCTAAAATTGCATTAAAAGTGCTTGACTTGTATACCAGAGCATTTAAGTACAAGTATTAACTCTTATTCCTGTAAGAATGACCTTTACAGGGTGTAATGGCAGTAGAACTGCTGTAAAACAAATAATCATTAATCAATATAATTGGCCTCCCTATTATTTATAATGAACCCTTTCTCCGTCAAAGAAAATTGTTGCCTCTGTCAGAATTATTTATGTTCTAGAATCACTAAGGATTGATGATATCTCTACCTGTACTATTTTCCTTTACAGGGAACATTTTCCATACTTCAAAACGGCACCGGACGGTTGGAAGGTAAGATTGGATTTATAGTTTTATTTGACACAAAGTGCAATAGAATTAAAGTAATGTAATAAAATCAAATTTATGAAGATATGCTATCTACCTGTATAAGTGGACGACCAGATATATTGGGGTGACATTGGGTGACAGGTGGCAAAGACCTGTCATTTGGGGCGACTTACAATCTCATTGGCTAAGAATTTGTCACATGATGCTACATATATACAAATTAGATTACAGGTGTTCACTTGAAATCTATAGTCTATTTCAAAAATGTCTGTGATCTTTTGTTGGATGGATTTCTATATATTATGTTTCCATGTAGCATTATGCTTGTGCACTGAACCATATGTAAGACATATTGCACTGCCTTAATAGGACGAAGGTTGAGTTGTTATTTAATCTCGCAGTCAAACAGCAAGGTAGCTGCGGAGACCAGTAATAAAGGGTGTACCTGTAGGGATAGGCTCTATAGTATTGCACAGATCATAATGTTACGTTTCGTTGCCCAGCAAAAGGCTAAAAATAGGACCTGGAAATTTCACACGCTCCTCTCCATTTTGAATAGAATAAAAATGCTGCAAAAAATGATAATTTTGAAAATATTTGTGATACATGTATGTATATACTGTATATGAAAATATTTGTCAGATAGTTTTGATTGTTAATTTAGTGTCAATATTCTGTGGCTATAACTTCATTATTTAATGCACCAGGATGAAAAACCTTGGGGTCGTTATTAAATACAAAACATAACAAATATTTATCTTTTAATGCTATTAATATAAACTGGGATTAAACTATTGATATTCAATGTTCTGGCTTTTAAACAATTTATTGTGGTTATTTAACGTTATTATATGTTGAAATTCTCCTTTTTCAGAATTCTGTGAGACACAATTTGTCCCTAAATAAGTGCTTTGCCAAAGTAGAAACCCCGAAAGTGACTGGAAACAACAGCAAAAAGGGGTGTTTGTGGGCCCTCAACCCTGATAAGGTTGAAAAAATGGAAGATGAAATTGCGAAACACAGGAAGAAAGATTTGGATGCCATCAGGAACAGTATGGCTATGCCAGGTGAGCATATTTTTTATACCAATTAACTCGATTTTACAGAGTCATATTAAGTGTGAGACTAAAATATTGTTGAGTTTACTAGTCACTGACTTTGAAGTGCTGCTAAGGGTGAGCATGAAAGGCACCTGATACTAACTCAAACCATTATTTCATCATCATTGACTTTTAAAATATTTTCTGATGTACTGTTCTATGCATGCAGATGTGACTCAGAATTAAACACAATGATATCTATTGATATTTCAATCAAAGGTTTCTCCAAAACAAAATTGACCAATCAGGGACTTTCTTGTTGACATAGGTGACATCATAATCTATATTTAGAACAAGATTGCTTCTCAAATCTAAATTTAGCTTATAAGGTAAAAGATCAATAAACAGTGAGGTTTTGGGTCTTCCTGAAATTCATATTGAGACTTGTAAAATCATACATCCCTAGGCCTTAATTTGTTTCAAAATATTTTATTGAGATTTATTTGAGGTTGATCTTTTTGGGAATAATTTTGATAAATGATTCAGAAATAAAAGAAACCGAATTTAATAAGAACATTTTCAATTCATGAATAATTTAACAGATATATGCAATCCATTTTTTGCATGGGTGTTTTTTTTTATTATTTTTTGCTGTATGAAAATATGCTTCAAGTTTTATATCTTTATACCGGTAATATCACAAAAAAATGTTCTTGTTAAAATTTGTCAACTAAAAGTTGTATTTATTAAAGAGGAAGAAGGTCATTAATATAAAAAATATCAATATGATTATTCAAAAACGCAGAAAACACTTTTAAAAAGAGGCGATGTATATTAGGTTTGCAAATATGACTGCGCATGTCTATGAAGCGACATTGAATACGTAGATGACTAAAGCTGACTGTAAATATCCCATTAAAATTGAATACAGACATGTATATACAAGGTAGTGATGACTCAAGCTGGCAAGGTAAAATATCCCATTCAAATTGAATACAGACATTTATATACATGGTAGTGATGACTCAAGTACATTTGCATAAAGCATGTAATCGAATAAGTATTGTCCCCTACTTAGGATGTGTAATTATGTACAAGATATTGTGTATGCTGTTTATCAATGTATACAGAGTTGTATGTTTAAGAGAAATTGTATAGTTTCTCGTTGTCTAGCTAGGATTATGAAAATGTAGGTATTGTCGGGGGGGGGGGGGGGGGGTTNGAGAAAAGTGAAGTCCAATGTTGCTCTAAAGCCAGTGTGTTCTGTCCTGTTGTTACTTGCTCGCTTATATCCTGTTTCATATTTTCCCTGAAAGTTGCTTAAAACATAAACCAGTAGGTTATAGGGGGAAATGTACTGGTTGATACTGGCTAATAACATCTATTTATATTGTGAAAAATGGTTTGCCCCTGTGGTACTCTTCTGACTTTTGAATCAAATATGATACATTAAATGTTGAGTAGCAGTCATAATATCCTTTATTGTGTATATATTTCCATTAGACCAGAAAAAGAACACAATGTTTAAATTTTACTATACCCTTAGTACCTACCCTGGTTTTTGTACTTATTAAAAGCGGACAAGTGCTGTCAATATCTTTATTTTGTTTGCTTGAATTTCGCTTACATTAATAAGTTTTGAAATATTTAAAACCGCTTCTTTTTAATAAAGGGTCATTTTATGGCTGCATCTTTTATTTCTGTGATATTTTTTTAGCCTTTTCACACACAAAACTTAAATGAAAGGGTTTAGTAAATAAGTCTGCCTCTGCACTATTCATAAATCATTTATGAATGAGTTAAAATACTTGACTCACTGGCTAAATAACTTAAGGACAAAGGTAAGAATGTATGGCCTGTGGCAGTGAAGTGGTCATCTGGTCAGTATCAGTGTAATCTACACATGTCCAGTAGGCCCCTATTATATAACAGTCATTAGGGGCCAGATAAAGACTTCAAAGGCCAGCAGCTAAATGGGAATTAACACTTCAAGAATTATCTGCCCTTTGAAGAGCTCTTTCACCAAATGATGTTGTTAAATAAAGTGAGACCAAGCCAGCCTATAGCTACCTACAACAAAGAAAGACTTTGAGGTTAAAAACCAATACCAGGATCTGGCCAGTATTGTGTAGTGTTAATGTAAGCCCAGGTGGAGGAACAAAGAGATTTGTCATAAAATATTGATAGGAATGTACAATGTACCTGTAGAAATATCCTGAACAGGCCTGGACAAAAATTATAGTTTTACATAGTTGTACAACGGAATCAAAACAATACCTTTTAAATTATTGAGATAGAATGAGATAGAGGGAAGGGGGGGACAATTCCTAAATTATGAAATTGATATAAAAGATTTATGTATCTTGTAATAATATTGTTTATAAATAATGCAAGAAGATAAGACATGTGTACAGGTCAGGGAGCAAAGCAATGTCCATTTCCGACAAATATAATGAACTAGGTGAATTAGAAATTGATGGGTTTGAGTCCTTCTTAAACAGACATTTAATTGTAATTATGCAACAAGTTTCAAAATCAAAAATAATTTATTTGTATGTACATACCACCTTTTCATTGTAAGCATAAGCTGGAATTAATGATTATATACCCCTAAATATTACTCATCACCAGCACAAAGACATATCTTTTTTCATAAAAGTGTTGATGAAAAGGAGCGGGGGGTAAACTAGGTTTACATATATAGTGATATCATTATTTAACTCAATTCATATTTTACTACTTAAGCAATGTTCTGTTGGGTATATGTTATTAAGGAACCCTTTTGTCTTACATTTGTAATCAACATGGGTTGAAAGGAGGGGGGACCAAGCTTCGATGTACTTTGTTTATATGACAGAGAGCTAGAGGGGGAGTTTGCCTGTTTGGTTCCTTTGTTTATATCGGGAGGGGGAGTGGCCACTTTTGTCTATCACTGGCTTGGGAGGCATGGATTAACTTCCTTTGTTTAGGATACCTCATCCTTTGTGTGGGAACTCAAGATCAAGGCACCCTTTGTTTACAAACAAAGTCTTGGTTTGTGGCCCCTGCTAATTAGCTTTGGGTGTCTAGCTTGGGACTGAGTCAACACCTTTTGACTAGATTAAGTGTTTGTTTAACTGACCAAACCAGGATAAGTCTTTAGCTTATTATATCACCTATATCACCAATACAGACCAGGTGCAGTCTATATTGGCTGTGATTTATCAGTGGCAGGATTTGATTTGGAAATATAAAAGATAATATTACTGGTATATATATATATGCAAGAAATTAAGTGCAATATTCAGAAACACTTAAAGGGAAAAAAAACTTGGGACATTTTATAACATTTTGTATTTATTTGAAAACTAAGGTTTTATTTCATATGATAATTTCACCTCATCTTTGTTTACTATTCCCTGAATTATTATTTTTTGAGTATATAAATGATGGATGAATTACCTGATTCAAAATTTCAATGAAATGATAATTGAATATATCAGGAAAAATGTAATTTCTATGTTATTACCTCAACCAAGCTTAAGGCATTATAACACGAGCAGCCAAAGAAACCAAATTAATACATCAGAACTACCCCTTCACCCCAATCTTCAATTGTGTCTTTCAGTGAAGCTAATGAAAATGTATATAAGTGACAATTACCCATTACATGATTGGTCCAAATTACATACCATCATGTAAAGGATTCTTCTTTGTTTCTGTATGCAGTAAGATTACCCCCTGTTGAGCCCCAATCCTGTGTAACTTATATGACGAAGTGGTTGTAATCAAAGATGATGCAATTTACATGCTTATCATCCTGTTTATAGTATACAGGGATATCCTATTTATAAATTCCTATTTAATTGATTTTTTAAAACATTATTAAAATTACAGTCCATCAATAAATTTGTGTATAAGCCATATACCACATAAAATTCATTAAGGTAATTTTGGGATATGGATCTTGGCTGGAATTGTGGAAAATTTATTTGCATTCATAATTTAATAGAGAATTTGCAAAGTTTATAAATGGTAGAATTGAAATGATATTAACATTTTACCCCTTTCAAATGATAACAGTTTGCTTTAGTTCATGTAATTCAGACAGTATCAGAGAATAAATCTAATTTATTAGGTGACCTTTTTTTTTTACAAAAGGTCTGCGTGAATACATTTTACAAAATGCTACATATATAATTACCCCTGAAATGACTGCCCTGACAGATAGTTATGTATACCTGCTATATGATTTACCCCTACTGGGCCCCATTCATGTCACCTCAAGTCAAGCCATGTAATATTACTGTGTGATGCACACACCCCTGTGGTTATTTGCTAACTGTGACAGGTGTGTCACTAGTTACCTGTAATTACACCTGACAGCTGACCACTGTCACTCCCCTAGGTATATTTGACCACTCTAGCTTTGTTCCAGTGGTCATATATTGACCTTTTCCAGTTAAATACCCATGCAAACATGACACTTAAAACCTTCACAGTTCTCAGGTAATGGTGTATCCCCAATGAGATCAGGTTAGAATGTTAAATATATAAACTCGCACTAATATTTTGATTTAGAAATTACTTCATACAAAACCATGTACTGGGAATATAATTAGAAATTGTATAATGTAGAAATATAATTATAAACTGGGCACCGTAGGAATAATTCTATCTTTGTGTATTGTTAAAAACAAGAACATGATTTCTCCTGTTTGTATATATTTGGGCCCGATATTCCTAATGAAAATATCAGATAATGTTACATTTATATATAAAAGATTCTATTGAAACAGAAAAAGTAGTTTTCTAGATTTTTTTTTTATGGTTGCTTTCTAAGAAGAAAGGTTTAATAGAAATAGATAAATAAAGAATGGAGGTGTGACTAGTAGTTACTTCAATGAACCTTCATTTTTTTCGAAATTAAAGGACAACAAACAAAAAAATGACATAATTACTGTTATGTAATTTATCAGATCAAGGTGAAAAAAGGACAAAATTTACCCGATACTTGTCAAACTAGAATTGATAGATTAAATGCATTTATTGACGAAAAAAAAGTAAACTCCTGAAAGAAAATTCTTGCATTTAATGTAATGGGGATATACTAAACAACCTGTTTTTCGGAACTTGATTTGAAACAGCTGATATTTTGTAGATAAAATTCATTGGTTTAAATGATATTTTATTTACAAATATACTGTACATAATATATAATTTTACATAATGTAATATTATAGGGATCTAGCAATATGATTTGGTTAGAGTGGCTAAAAATTACCAGTATATGAAATTTCTACAGCACACTCCCTATAACACCATCCAAGCCCTGAAAAATTGCGGAGTTGTAAAATCATGTATGAAAATTAATACGTATGATATTTAGAGGTTGCTTTTTTGTGTTTGTAGAAAAATTAGAACTGATCGAGGCAGGAAAGGCAGGACCAGCGGGGAGTCGATCTGAGGGAGAGAGGATCTTGTCCCTGCCTGTAACAACGACACCCTCCACAACAACTGCCCGTGTGGTGAAAATATCCACCCCAGTGGACTCCTCAATAAAACAGGAGGATTACCTCCATAGTATAGTGCTGGACGGGAGTTTGTCTTTGGACAACCCCCTACCCGACCTAACATTACAGGTAATGACCCCTCCCAAATCTAAAATTACAGGTAACAACCATTGTAGAAGTCGGCAATAATTTTCAGTTAAATACACTGCATACCTATGTACTGAGTATATAATAAAAAAACTTACTGGTTATTTATCTCTTCATAAGTTAAATATATGAAAACTGTATTAGCTTGACCCAAACAAAGTCCTTAACCCTTTAAACACTGTAGACTATAATGGACTCATCCAGATCAATGCATGGTAGAGTCTACTAAAGTTTCATACGGTTGAAAGGGTTAATTGACCGATAATAAAAGGTATAAAACAAATTTTGTTCTAGTTTCTAAACATTTATTGCAAAAAAAATCAGTTACGATGTGTGTTATACTGGCTTTGTGATTAAGCATAAGTTTTCATCCTTGGTTGTAGCCATTCTTTTCTGTATTGGTAAATTTATCAGTTAAAGATGTAGAGCTGCATTGGATTTTTTGAATTCTTTTGTATAACTTCCCATAAATTTATTAATCATTTTGAAAAGAGAACTGTGGTTTAATCAATCTTTCTTAATTGTAAATATATTTACTTTACAGAATGGTATTTGGGATGACCTGTCAACAGACATGGAATTACCACTGACTACATCCTCCACACTTTCGCTCAATGCCTCGCCCCTAACAATCCAGTCTGTGGTTTCTTTAGGTAAGACAGGCTCCAACAGCACCCATTATGGCCTGTGGTATCACTAGGTAAGCCCAGGCCAAGTGTCGGGCCTCAATACATGCTTAAGGCCAAACAAAGCAATATGAGTGCATACATATATATTATCATGTGTTTGGTTTTCATGGATAACTTGCAAGATTTTTTTTTTTTTTGTAAATTGATCATTGTTATAATATATACAATGCATTTATATGTACGTATATATCAAGAAGATATTTATCACACTTATAAATTTACTAGCATTATCCAACTTAAGGGGGGGGAACCTGGAACTCAGTATTTTTTGTTTGGCCTTACTTCATGTATATGGGCAAACAGAACAAAAAGAAAATTTGGGGAAATACTTCTTCTTGAAAGTACCAAAAATTTGCACCTCTTTTAGTTGGATAAAATGAACACAAACAAATTTAGAAGTTTGCTGATCTAGATTAATTTTTAATCGACAGTATATTCACAATAGGTATAAAGTAAAGCTTTATATTCCAGAATGAAGAATCCTGAAAACAGGTTAAATCTGGATGTGTATTTAGACCCTATTTAAAGTCATTTTCTTCAGGAAAGTTTCAGCTATATAGTAACCAGTTTTAACTTGATACTTCTCCAATGATAAGGTCAACAGCCAAAAGCAATTTCACTGTTATAATTCAAAGGGACTTGATAAAAATTCCTAATGTTGTACAAAATATATCAAACTCTTTGGCAAATTCATTTATTTATTTTATTTTCAAATAAAGGATAAGCAACTCGATTAAAATAATAATTCAAGTAAGTCCTTTGAAAAGAGTAGAATCCACTGGAAATCTATGATTCTAACCCCCAGGACTAGGAATTGAATTGAGAACTACTCGTTAAAAGATTTTCTGTTTTGTATATTTGTCATTTCTTCCTTCCTAATAGAAAAAAAGTTTGACGTCCTGCATCTAACAATACTAACTCATTATACTTTTAACCTTCAGCTGGAGTTTCCGGAGCCTTTCAAGGTCAGTTCACATGCTCATCGAGTCCCATGTTAACTCTTACCCAGAATGCAACAGTAGCTCCAGCTTGTCGCACGCCGTCCAAGATCCTCGAAGCTCAGATCTAGTCAGGGAAAGACACTACCATGGTCATCTGAAATTTGCCATGGTTACAAGGGGAAGGGTTAAATAGATAAAGTCACAGACATCTACAATTGACCAAGTTATCAACACTGCCAAGGCGATCTACTATAGGCCGAGTGATCAACACTGCAAAGGTCATCTATGTTTGGCCAGGTGATCAACACTGCAAAGGTCATCTATGTTTGGCCAGGTGATCAGCACTGCAAAGGTCATCTATGTTTGGCCAGGTGATCAACACTGCAAAGGTCATCTATGTTTGGCCAAGTGATAGACACTGCAATCTACGATTTGCCAGGTGATCAACACTGCAAAAGGTCATCTATGATTTGCCAGGTGATCAACACTGCAAAGGTCATCTATGATTGGCCAGGTGATCAACACTGCAAAGGTCATCTATGATTGGTCAAGGCCACAGGGGGGAGGGAATATTGTTGAATTAACATTCCATTGTATATCATAATGTTGCCTGTCTGAGTGTGGGTCCGTAGGACAGAAAATTGGTTATGTACGTAACATCCATTCTTAAATTAATTCATTGATTCGTATCATCCAAGATGTTAGGAAAAATGAAATAATTTCAGTTGAAAAATATTAAGAAAACAATTTATCCTAGCTTTACCAATGTAATGTAATACCTTCTAAACAGAGCAATCATTTTAGCTTAATATATAGTCCTGATATTTATGGAGAAATATTTCATCGGAAAAAGATACAATTTCATAATTAATGTAGGGAAACAGAGGTATAAATGGCATAAAATTTTGTAAGAAAACAAAATCTTCACTTGATCATTCCAAGTAAGAGAGTGATCCTTTTTTTTTACTTTTATATCATTGATTGATGTACTGATTCCTATTTGTGCAAAAGTGAAGAGTAAAATTGTACAAAAAATAATTCTCTAGCCACTGAAATTTCTGAATGAACTTGCGTGTTCTTTCAATTAAACATTAACTTTGTTGATCTCATAACTAAACAGAATTCTTTTGTGCTGTCAGACTTATGAATTGATTTTCTATTGATGTTGTTAAAGTGTTCTTGTTGACTTATATAAAATTTATTTATGATACTAGAAAATGTAAATAAGCTAGAGTTTTGATCTCGTAGAAGCCATGGTTGCTAGAACCAGGTGAAGAAAAAGTTTAGAAAATTGATTATTGTATTTAAAAGAAGTTTTATTTTAAAAGTTTTCATTGTCATGGGAAAGTTTTGATTTCTTTTTGAAGAAAATCCACATTTTAAATGTAAATTTCTAAAAAGTTTCTTAAAAAATTATCTTTGATGGTTTTTTTCTTTAAATGTGGATTTGATTACCAAAAGAAAGAAAAACATTATACAACATATAAGATTACTGTTTTAAAGTCCTTTGTGTGAATAAATATTTGTCAGACGTTTAAATTTGCGATATACTGTCCTTGCAAATTAATATGAAAATATATATGTTATAAAATCTGAATGATAAGCAATACTTGGTTTGGCTTTATATTTTTACTGATATCTTTGTTCTATAAACCATGGCTATTTCCCTCCTATCTTACATCATCCAGATTGGTGCATTTTGATTTTGTCTTTTGTTGACATTGACATTGTTTATTTGTTTATTGTGTTTCTACTGTATTACTCAGATATAAACAAATGTATACACATATAAAATTCTCTCAGTTAATGTGGTTGCAAATGAAATAACAATTAAAATTATCCCCTAGTCCATACCTCTCAAAACAGTCCAATGGAATGTATACAATTCAAATTTTGGTTGGATGGGGGTTCAGATTTTATTGTTGTGTTTTATTTTAACTTCTAAAGATCTTTTGAAGAACTGGCCGAAAAACAAAAAATTGAAGAAAAAAATATCTTTAATATATTGCATAGATATTTTTCTCTTGTTGAACAAATTCTCAATGGCAAGCAGATTATAGTAGTTTGACTAGTGTTATATATTGTTAGTGCCACCTGTGTTCAGAACTTAGAGAATTTTTACAGTTATCAGTGTATTTTAGGATAGTGTGTCCGAGAATGTCAAACTGGACAAATTTCATAGAAAGGCAATTTCTAAGACCGTATTCACCATAATAGGAGAACCACTTGCCTACGAGCACTAATCTTCAGCATCTACTTTTAACAGAAAATACCATGCTACCAGTAACCTGAAGGTATTTTAGGTTTACACTGACCATTTGTATATATAACTTGTCAGGGGGCATAGCTCGTGTAGTACGTTGCCTACAGTTGCCAAATTTTGTATACAAGTACCTCTGTGGAAGGTGAAGTGTTAAACATTGAAATATTGTATTGTGCTCCACTTAATACTGATTTCTGGCCCTTCGTTCATTTTGATATCAAAATTTGTCTGATGGAGAGGAATATGGATTGATTGCACTACTCCAGATTGTGGCCATCTAGTACTGAAGTTGACAACTTCACAGTGTTGGGTAATGCCATCTATCATTTTATTAAGATGAAAAAAGCATGTCTCAAATTCCAGGGGAAAACTTAATAATGAATCTTGAATGGCAATTCAAAACACAAACAATTTTGAAGCATCTTAACACCTCGTCCCATATCCCATCAATTTCTCAGGCAAGTGCACCTATTATGGTGAATATGGTCCTTGACAAATAAAAGATAATTTGACAAATACATATTTTTAGTGCATGTTTATCAGCCTGTGTGTGTCTATGGGGTGTTAGTGTGGTAATCCAAAAATGTGATGCCCTACATAAAAAAAGATATTCCACACAAATTATCACATAAATATATTAATGTACAAATTTAAATTTTGATATTGGTATATATATATGTATGTATGTATACATGTCGGTAGGTGTGTTGATTTTTACATTTATGTATATATGTACAGTTGATTGAGGCAGCAATATAATGTAATTTATTAAATAATTGTGCTATATATAGAATTGTGTGTAGAAAACTTTTGCATTCTCACAGTACACAAAATGCTTAACACGGAGAGTTCACTCCCTTTGCCCTGGTCTAGAGAAACACCGTTGCTCCGAAAGGAGGTTAATTGTTCCATAATCCAAAATGATACCCCTTTGTGTTCATTACAATGCTAGATTGCATTGCACTGTGGAATTTCGTTCCCTACATTGAACTTAGTTGTTTTAAGCCGCATTAGGTACAGGTTTGAGTTTCTGACATTTTCATATAAAAATAAGTTATGATTTAAACGGGCAATGTTCCGAGAGTCAAAAGAAAGGATCACTGTTATATCGGAATTGTTAAAAGAAGAAAAAGTGAAAAATTTGCAATAGAGAAAAATAAAATTTTGTAGTAACAACTGAATTGTCTTCAATGAAGCTTGACTAATTTGTAGTATTCATAACACAGATTATTTTTTTTACAAGTTGTGCACCATAAGATGTAGGGCAGATCTAGACTATGCAACTTCATGGTGATAAAACTCAGGAAATGTTACTGTTTATTTAAAAAGTGCCTGTGAAGAGAATGAAGAAGATTCTTATATCAATGTTATATCCTGTGATCACATGCATATTTTTATTTACCCACAAATCATTTCAGTTTCATTTTTTTTTTTTTTTATTAATGTATGGTATTAAATGAGGAATTAAGATTTTTTTTTGATTTTTTTGATTTTTTTTTTAGATATAGCAAGAAATTTGAAAACTAGAAGTAAATTTATACTAGTATTTAATGAAAGCATTGGTAAATTTCTTGTTTAACCTATGATGTTGAGTGCCAAATTGATATGCTCAATTTTCGCATAATGATGATTGTGACATTAACAGTGTGTAGAAAAATTGAGAATTTTTACTATGTATATAAAACTGTACGGTTATGAATGAAGTCAGTGTATATATAGTTATGAGTGGTGATTTCTACATGTTTTAGCTGTGTGTGAAAGGAAGGAGGAGCATGTGTCGACCACCAAGTGGTTATATCATTAACAAATATCCGATAAACAGATCTTTTTGTTTAGCTTTTAGCCAACCCACAACTTAGTGGTTAAATGAAGTTTTTATAAACTTAACCATTTATTTTTCTTTGACATAAATCCATTATGAATTATTTTCATGAAAAACATTGCAAGACAAATAAAGTTAAAATGTATTGGGGATCAGGATGTAATCAACCATAAATTGAAAATGTTTTCCAGTACCCATTATTATTGGCAAACCCTTACAACTTAAAAAGACACTTTGAAAGCATTGTTTTATTATTAGGAAAAGTGTGTAACTTCATTTTGTTGTTTTGTACTTCTGTGGGAACTATGAAAAATGTTTGCAAATGAAATGATTCCATGTTATATACTTGACATTGTTGTGATGGTAGGGTTCAAACTTACTTGAAAAGTTCCCCAGAACATTGGTTGGTTAGTATTTAAAGTATTGTGTTCCATCCCATATACGTTTTGTAGTTAAACTTTGTCCCCTCCGATACACTTTGGAATGATCCATTTCATTGTGATGACCGGTTCACTGTAGTTTCGTGTGGTTAAATGATTGTGTTATGTATAATGTTGTGCTTGTAGACCTATTTCATTATAAATTAGCAAATCACAGATTCTAGTATTAATTGACTTTTCATTTTTCACTGGGAAAAATAACACAAATCATATACCGGTAACCCAATTATTAAAAATGATTTTTATTTGTACTAGAAAAAAATATTACAAAAATTGCAGATTCCAGTATTTTAAATGTATTGGTACTGAAAAAGATGTTACCCAATTCTGAAAATTGATTATTGTTTTAAATAAGCAACTATTAATAACATTCAAATTCATTTAAGTCTGGGAAAATCACATGCATGTCACAGGGGGGAAATAAGGTATGATGATCACAACATTGCTATGCAACAGAGATTTATGAAATTCCAGTTCATAGCATTTAAGTATTTCTGAGTTCCACAAATGTATGAACATGTGGTTTTGTGTACCATGCAGATTTAAACGTCAGCGATCACAAATACCTTAAAAATAATACAACATATACAGGTTTTAACAGAACAAATGAATTTTTTTTGCATCTTTCTTTCATAAATACACTTCACTATGCTTCATAATATTAGTTTTCAATGTTTTTTTAACTGATTAATTAGGTTAACTCTAGTTTTTTACCTTTACACTGCCGGAGTGGAAAGCGCCATTGAGCGACCACAAGATCATTTCTTGTCCATAGCCACTAAATCTATGTGTTCAGTTTTATCCAGTTTTTATTTGTTAAACTTGCTGATTTGTAAATCTTATTGATAGAATTTATATAGGGCAAAGTGAGTTTTGCCTTAACAAAATAATAAAAAAAAAATATTTTGATTATTTTTGTATTTTGTGTTTTCTTGCTTTACAACTGCATGCGACTTTTTTTTCAGGTACAGATTTACACTGATTTTACTGCTTGCGATTCAAGTGTTAATCATGTTGCTGAGAAGTATTCGTGAAAAATACCGGTAAAGAAAGTTAACAAGTCTTCAGAGCAAAACAAAGGACTATTTTTGTCAATTAGTTCTATAAAATTTAAACAGCTATGATCAGTAAAGGATGTGCCTCCATGTCTGTAATGCATGTGAAAAGTCTTATGTTGATGTATTTGCCTCTTTGCGGAAATGATGCCAACTTGAAATTAAAATTGAAATCAAATAAAATACTTTGCCAAAGCTTAAAGGCACCCAGCACAGTATTCCACCTGACCCCATTAGACTGACAATGGGTTAACCAGTAGCAGTTAACCTAAATGCGGAACATTTGGCAGGAAAGGACAACTCCCGTTTTTAACTCGCCTGGTTCGAAGTGCCGGTTGAGCTTATGGTATGGTGTGTTGTCCGTCGTCCATCAACTTTTTCTTTGAATGACTCAAGCTTCTTAAGAACTTAAGGACCTAGGGCCATGATATTTGGCCAGTAGGTACCTTGGAAAGAGTGCGATAACGTTTTTCTCAAAATAATTACCTTTACCTACATCCAGGGCCAAATATGTTAAAACCTTTTTAACAACTGTTTCTAAATAACCAAAGGCACAGAGTACTGATACTTGACCGACAGGTACCTAGGACAGAGTGATATTAAGTTTCCTCAAATAAATGGCATTGGCCTTCTTCAGAGGTCATAAGGGTTAAAAAGATTTTTAAAAAACATCTTTTGAATAAAGAGCAATGATATATGTCCAGTAGGTACCTGGGACAGAGTGATACTTGGACTTTCTCAAATAAATGACATTGACTTACTTTCGAGGTCACAGGGGTTAAATATGTTAAAACCTCTAAACAACATCTTCTGATTAACCAGGATTCCCAGAGTAATGATACTTGGCCAGTAGGTATCTGGCATGAAGTGCTATACCTTTATGACCTTGAACTTCTTTCTTTAAAGATCACAAGGGTCAAATTATTTAAAAACCTTTAAACGTTTTTTGTTGGATCACCAAGTGCAATGATATTTGGCCAGTATGTACCTGGGACAGAGTACTTTAAAGTTTCCTCAAATGATTAACCTTGACCTATTTTCACCGTCACAGGGGTTAAATATGTAAAAAAAAACTTTTAACATCATCTTCCGCAATACCAGGAGGCCCTGTGTGATGAGATTTGACCAGTAACACGCTGGGATAGAGTAATATAAAGCTGTATTTAGCCTGGAACATTCTTAAGCCAAGGAGACTCAATATATTGAAATATTTGCAAAAGTACTTTTAATGAGAATTATTCTTTCATGATTGTTCAAATATCAACGTGAGCGATGCAGGCCCTCTCATAAAAATAGAAGGATATTGATGCATCAAAATTCATAACCTAGCTCTCTCCCCTTCCCCCAATACCCTGTAGATAAATCAAACGACAATCATCTGCTTCATAAAGGATAAATGACCCACTATTTCGCTAGAAATTTTGTAAATTATTCTTAAATAAATATATTCGCGTTTTTTGCACAATGTATTGGCTCATATTACAATGGTATATGGAAATGACTGGATGTCGACACGTTCCTCAGCCAATAGGTGTGATTTAACATAACAAGCATGTTTATCAAAACACTCGTTAAGAAACAGGATGCCTGACATACATTTTATGCAAATGAAGTTACGATATTTTACATTTATATACAATGTAGTTTCAGGCCTAACGCTATAGCCAACATCTCAAGTCACAGATTGTGCATTTACTCTGTTGGAAGGTGTTTGGTCCCGACTTTAACTGTCAGAATCAACATGAAAAGTGACATCAACACCTACACCATAGATTCATCCAGGATAGAACATGTGAATTAGACTGGCAGATGTCACTGCTGACAAAACATTTCCAGACATCATCCAACTCGAAAAGAATATCTATGATTATAATAATCGTGATTCGAACTCTAAATAGATAGCATAGGGCAAAATATGAACAAAGGAAAGATTTACATGGAGACACATGAAAAATAATAGGAGAATGAAGACCAGGAGTTCAGGAAGGGTAAGCGTCGTCTGCTTCATTGACGAAACCCGATATGTAAATAAAGATGTAATCAAAGTAATATCACGTGTTCATAGGGAGGACCGGGTTAGTGACAAAACGGCATCAGCTAGTGTATACAAGTGAGCGTCATAAAAAACCATCAACCGTCATATCTCGCAGAGAAAGAGTATATTTTCCAATGGGATCATGATTGCGACCCATATTCTCTATCTACCCGAGTTTATCGGTCGACATCGATCACGGAAGTCTTGATATACGGAACAAGCTCTTGAATAATGAATCAACTGTGATGTATTAACACTACATGCAGGTTTGGGAGTAGGGATGTTACTATCAAGGAAAGCGGCTAGTGTAGTCTAGAAAA